AACAACTTTGCCTTAAGATCCCCACAGGTCTTGGAGACTATAACATTTACAGCATAAGAAGATTCCCCAGGGAGGAGAAGAGATATGAAAATTAACAGATTATTTCCGATGGAGCCTTTTCCTCTTCTTACTGAGCCCCTGAAAGAATCATTTTTTCCAGGTCAAACTGTTGTTAGTGGCAGAACTGGAATGTGTCACAGAGCAGAACATGGGGGATGCAGGGAAAGGAAAGAACCGCCTTACCACCAGCACATGGTCTGCTAAGCCTGGAACCTCTCTGGCCTACACTGCCTCCTGTATAAGACAGAGGGCATTATAGTAATTGAATGAGAATCCATAAAACACATAGGAACACACATGGGGCTGGAGAGATGGCTCAACAGTTAGATTCACTGGCTACTCTCACAGGGGCTAGGCTCCATTCCCAACACTCACATGGTGGCTCACAAGTGCTGTGACTCCAGTTCCATGACATTAAACGCCTTCTCTGACCCCTGTGGGCACCAGGCAAGCATGTGCTACACATACATACATGTAGGTAAAACTTGCATCTATCCCTATGAGATTTATCACTTGTAATACAAGGGCTGCTATTTCTCTAAGTCATGCTGATAGGGAGACTGAGGGACAGAGACACAGAAACAGATGTCTCTAAACACCCTCCTGTAAACACCTCCATTAGGCTAATGGTAGCAATCCCGGGAATCTATTACCAATCAGCTGAGGGAATCTTTTGCTCTGTTCTGAGGGAAGCTACAAAAACAGAGCAGCTCTCCTCCGTGTTGTGTCTCTAAGTGTCTGGTGTTGGAACCGGGAACGTTTTGACTCCGGGCTTTAAATGCCAGTGACCCAGCACCCAGCACCAGTGTGACATCTCTGAGCTAAGGTTTTTGGGACCTACTCTTAGTGCTTCCAAAGTATAGTTTCTGACAGCTAGCTTTCTGGAACTTAGGAGCTGGGGTCTTGTAGACTTGGTTCCTCCCAGCCCTTCGCCATCTGAAGCTGCGGCTCTCTCATCTTTCCAACACTTCTGGTGTCTGCTACCTTGACCCTCCCCAGTACCAGTCCCCCAGTCTCTGCTGTGGACCACTCTCTGGGGCTTTAGCTCCCGTTTACTTCACTGGTCCTGGAGTGTGCCGGGGGAGGGGCATCTAAGAGTTGTCTATTCATTCCTCCAGTTCTCAGCTCCAACCTGACTATGGTAGTTAGAATGGAAGTAGCCCCCATAGCTCATAGTGGGTGGCTCTATTAGGAGGTGTGGCCTTGTTGGAGGAGGTGTGTCCAAGTGGAGATAGGCTTTGAGGTCTGCTATGCTGTGACACAGACCACTTCCTGTTGTCCGTGGGGACCAAGGTGCAGGAGTCTCAGCTTCTTCTTCAGCGCCATGTCTGCCTGCACACTACCATGTCACACCATGATGATCCTGGACTAAACCTCTGAAAATGTAAGCCACCACAATTAAATGTTTTTCCTTGTAAGAGTTGTGGTGGTCACATTGTCTCTTCACAGCAATAGAAACCCTAACTCTGACCCACCCGGGATAAGGACTATAGACTGTAAAAATGCCAAGGATGGTGGTGGGAGGGGCCTAGGCTACACAAGATGAACAATGCACTAGAACAAGGGCAGGAGGACTCCCTCGTACCCCCCCTCCCCACCCCGAGGAGAGGGCTACTTAAATAACGTCTACTGACCACGTCTTTCTGCTCAGCCATACAGTCTGGAGCAGAAATTCTCAAGCCAGGTGTGGTGGGTGTCTGAGGTATTCCTACCTGCCTAGACTGAGGACCTCACAGGGACACCCCATTGTAACTGTGGGCAGAATAGCCTGAGGCTCATCAGAAGTTGTGGTGAGAGTAACGCCTCCCGGAGTCCTTTCAGGTCCCGGAAACTGCTGCAGCAACTGAAGTAAAGACTCCCAAAGCTTCACAGCTTCCATGAAGACTTTGGTGATTCCTAAGTGCACTGAAGTCTCTTGCTTTGTCTGCTACTGGTTTCACAGTCTCCTTCAGTCACCTGAAATCGTCTACGGGGGTCGGGGATGGCATCCGTTTCTCTGCGTGGGCTTGAGAGGTGTGAGCAGAGGTGGGGGCTGTTAACGCGATGTTTTGGGCTCTCCCAAGCGGCTCCTCCCCCTACCTTGACATGACTGAGGCTGGGTGGTTGCTGCCCTGTTCTCCAAGGGCAGTGGCAACAAAACCCTTCACAGCCCTGCTGGGCTTGGGAACTGTGGAGTCAACAGAAGGTTCCATCCAACCTCTGTGGACACTGCTTCCGCTCCAGCTGCCCTCTGATGGAGGGGGAGGGGACCCACAACTTTCCATAGGCAGCCTCACTGCTCCTGCACCTTCAGCCATTGTGTTTAGTTTAAGATTTACATGCATGAGTAGAATACATTTTGATTAAATTTACTTCCCCATTCTCTTCCCTCCAGCTCCTCTAATACCCCCAAGATTCACTTTTCCTTCCTAACCTCTGGTACGCTTCTAAATTCACTGAACTCAGTTCGTACGTCCCAAATGTGCTGGGTGTAGGGTCAACCACTGCAACATGGGCAGCCTAGCCTTAGTCATTTTAAAATGCAAAAACGTTAAGAATGTGCTGACAAAGATTTGCCCTGAAATTAACATTCTCTTCCAGAAACTTCAATAACAGTTGGCCTCTAGCCAACACTCCCAGGGAGGGTAAAGTTCTCTTCCTGTCTCAACAGATGCCAAAATTTCCTGAGTTCCACTCTGGCTCCTCTTACCCTTCCTGGTGAAAAGACTATAGTGATCTGCTGTAGCCATAGTATTGATGCATAGCACATCACCCTAAAACTCATGAGTTTGAAGATCAGTTTCATGCCAACATCCAAACCATGACCAAACTCACCACAGAGGAAAGGGTAGAGAGGTAAGGAACTCTGAAGGCTTCTCCTACTCTGGGACTCTCTGGGGCTTGGTCCCTGGCTGTAGAATTGAAGTAAGTGTATAACCTCAGTAAGAAGACAATGATTCCCATTTAATCCTTACATTAAAATTTTTCAGTTCAGCCAGGTGGTGGTGGTGCATACCTTTAATCCCAGCACCCAGGAGGCAGAGGCAGGAAGATCACTGTGAGTTTGAGGTCAGCCTGGTCTGCAGAGTGAGTTCCAGGACAGCCAGGGCTACACAGAGAAACCATATCTAAGGGGAGGAAATGTTTAAATGGATCGAAAGGAGGATTCCTGGCTCACCTGTTCAAAGAAAGCAGGGCCTCCCAACTGGAACTATGATGAATCTATTCTTACTATGTTAGGAAAACCTACAGCACGATTAGCTGTTAAAACTAATCCCTTCACATGAAATGGACGGACAACTTTGGGAGTTGGAATGAATCCCCTCATTTAAGGTTGAAGTGTTCTTCCCTGAGTACTAGTCAATGCCTGGGAAGGAGCCAGACCTGACCCCACAAGTTTAACTAACCAGATCTCCCTGACCAAGACAGAATGTCCCAGAACCTTCTTACAAACAGTACCAGACATACACGTCTGGAAATGGAGATTGAGTGCCTGGTATTTTCAAACGAAAAAGAAATGGATAAGCTGTTACTTAGCTCCTGTTTTGTAACAAAATCCTCTCTCACACATCGGGATTCAGGTCTGTGATTTCTGTGCTACCTGCTTTACAGAGAAGCTGTTTCTAGCTTAGAACCAAAGGATTCCTTAAGACCACCTTTGGGATGCAGCAGCCAGGAAAGGGAAAGGGTGCCTGTCCTCGCATCAAAGGGACATGTGACCCTGGGTGTATTAGAGGTCTCATCTGGGGCATTTCTCTGCGTTTAAAAAGGTTCTGCTTTGTCTTTTAAAAAATTGCAGAGACCTATGTGAAATGGAAACACCCTGGCAGGCTTCCTTGAAGACCAGCTGTATTGTTTGGGGTTGCTGTTCTCACCAGGAATTGTAATCTGCCGCCCCCTGCTGGTCACTGTGTTCGTGCTTGGGGTGGCGAGATCTGGGCGTTTCTAGATTTACACAAATGCAAATCAGTGCTGCTTGTTTGCTCGACTTAATACAGAGGTATTTTCAGCCTCGGACTATCAAAGGGGAACAGCTACATGACAATTATCTGGAGACTCCAGCTCACCGCAAGAAATCATTGCAATTTCTAGAATCGCTCCAACCGCAGAGCTCTGTCTCTCCCACCCCCCTTCCCGCCGCCCCCAGCAACCCTTTCACAGCCTACCAGGAACCAGGGTAGCTGGTGGTTGGGGTGTACGTTAGGGCCCTCCAAAGAAAGTCCAGAAAGACTCGGGGATCTATCTTTAAAGTATGGACACACCCGGAAGGGAGCTGTGGTCTGACTTATAACCGACTCCCTAGTTCTCCTGCGAAACACGTTTAGACGCGAGCACTGCCATTTTTCCTTTTCCATTCTTATTCTTTTTTTAAATCATAATTTAAATACTTTAAATAGACTTTTGTGACCCAGCTAAAATGAAGCAAAAGTCACGGCTCTAATTTGCCATTCCTGGAAGCTAATCATGCGAAGTGCGTCAATGCCAGTTGACGTTTCTTACCTACTCACCTTGGCAGAAAATATTGTAAGCAAAAGGGGGGGGGGGTGGGAATCTCCCCCCGGAAGCGGGTTGGGGAGCCTCTTTCATGCCTAACGCTCCTCCCATCTGATTCCCCCTCGCACATACACCCCCCCCCCCATAAAGCCAGGGCCACAAACGCGTTCTGAGTATCTGTAAATGTCCCGCGGAAAGGGCACCGTGGGCGGAGAATGTCAGCGGCTGTCACTGTGCACCTAGGGAACGTCGTCCTCGGTAGCCAGAATGAGGTGATGGGCCGGCCGCCGCCCCCAGCGCCCGCCCGGAGGACGGAGAGAAAACACAGCCGAAGGCGAGCCCAGCCCTTGTGTGCTAAGCTTAGAGCGTTGCTCTCCCGTTTCTTCAAAGCGCTTGTTCTTAGACCAAAATGTGAACGAAACAGCTGGCCGGACACTACACCCTTTCGGACCACGCCTCGCCCCCGGTTCAAGTCCTTGGAGAGGAAGTCCTTTTATTCCCCTCCACCCTCATTCTTGTAAACATCACCCCTTGGGAGTAGTAAGATAAAAAGAGTGAAAACCACAAATAAAAAATAGTCAAACTACAAGGGCAGCTGTCATCCGTCCAATTCTAGGAGGAGAAGAAAGGAGTGGGAGACATTCACCACTGCACAATCCCCCGCCAGGCAAAACAAACGACAGAGAGGGATAAAGGTGGGGCCCAGCCTGGGGCAGAGGCAGGGGGCTGGCCGAGCACTGGCAGGGAAAACCCTGGCTAGGCCCTAACGGCGGGCGCTGTCCTCGGTGCTGAAGTGTGTCCCGGGCCTCAAAACTCGATGCTCCAGAACTGCGTGGATCTCCAGGCCCTCCGTTTTCAAGAATCTTGAGTTGCAGCAGGAGAAAATCGGAGATTTACTCAGTCGTGAGCCCATCAGTCTACCTTTCTCCCTGGCTCACCGGGATACCATCCTCACGAGTGCAAAGATAACACAAATCAGAAGGTCGCTAGCACCCATTCAATGGATCGCTGCTATTCACATGCTTTTACACTAAAGACAAGCAGGGGCCTTCATTCTTTTCCTCCCCGTCACAAAGAGTAGAGGAAGCGGTGCACCTCAAAGACAGACCCGGCCTGGTTTAATGTGCGGTGTCTACTGCTGTAAAAAAATATATATATACTCGTTTCTTTCCAACATGGTTGTTTTTGCTAAAGCGCTGGAAGTGAGGTCTTTGCATTCTGTGGTCAAAGACAGACATGGCTGAAAATTACCCCATCTAGTGCCACAGGTGAGGCGAAGGCTCGCTCTGTTGTTACAGGGAGTCTTGGGGGAAGACTGGGGGGACGGAGGAAGGCCCGCACCTCAGCAGAATTGTAGCCGGCTAGGCTCAGGAGGGTTTGCTGCTTCCTCTCTTCCGGCCAGTGGATCTCGAGTGATTAAGCAGTGGCACCCAGCGTCCTGATTGGTGTCACTGCACCCTTTAACGAAGAAGGCCCAAGAAGGGGGCGTGGAAGCTCACCTCCTCATACACAGATTCAAGATATTCCGAAAAGCGCGGTTTGAGAGAGCATCTCCTTCAAGAAACACACACACACACACACACACACACACACACACACACACACACACACACACACCACCTACCTATCCGGGAGCTGTGGCTTGGTGGGACATCAGTTACGATTCAATCCACCCTTCGGGTGCTTTTCATCTTTAAAAAGTGCGGGGACTTTTCTTTTCCTGTGAGGCAGAGAGGAAACAGCAGTATTTTCTTTGGCAGCGGGAGCAACGCTATTATTTCAGTCTCTTTTGTTGAACACGCGGTATCTCCCAGTGCTGACTCTGAGAGCACCCTCACGGAAATCTTGGTGATTCGTACAATTTTTGATGTTTCCGTTGCTTGGTGGTGAAAACTGATAGGACAGTCACAGAAAAGGGACAGGCCTGGAGTAAACCATCGGGAGCCCCTGTCTGTTCGACAGCAATGTGAGGGAAATCACTATGAAAACGAGTAAACGCGATCACGGAGTACTACCCCCCCCCCGTCACCCAGACACACCCAAAGGTCAGGTTTGTTTTACCCCCAAAGAGTAAGGAACGGAGGGAGAGCAAGGGGGAGCCAGGAGACAGCTGCGGGAAGGCTTGAAAAGGCCATCGAGTTACAGAGCTCGGCGGGCGTCTCCAGGTGTTGTCTGGGGCGCACCAGGAAAAACCCGCAGCCAGCGCAGGGTCTCTGGGTGTTTGGCGCCCTCTGGTGGAAATTTTCCAGTTACCGCCTTTTTCTGTCAGGGGGGACTTCACCCAACTCAGCAGGGCGCTTACACATCGCTGAGAGAATCTTTAAACGCCTGGGAATTGAAATTGAAAAGGAGTGAGGAGGGTGGGCCAGGACGAGGAGTGCTGTCCTGCCTTCCGGGAGCCACCTCCACGCTCGAGTTCCCCAGGCGTGTGGCGCGGCACTCGTGCGTGTTATTAACCTTCAGACGTGATCAATCACGAAGCTCCCGGTCCCCTTCCTCAAAGGAGAGGGCTTAGAGAGAGAGAGAGAGATGAGGCCCCTTTCCTCCGGTGGTGCCAGGTAGCTGTGTTCCAACGAGGTGGCTTTGGGGATGCCTCTAACTGGGAGAAGAAACTGGGGTGAGGAAACTCCATGATCTGGGTGGCCCCCCTCCTCTCGGTCTCTGTTTTGCCTTTCCGGTAACCCTGGCTCAATACAGAGCATCACTCATAGAAAACCCTGTGGAGGGTCGTGGATCCTGGGGCAGTCACAGGAAAGGGACTAAGGTGATGCTGGTCTCTTCTTAATCACCGCTGATGTCTTAGCTCCAGCCGACCAGCATCAGCAAAGACTATGCTAGTCTTCTCCAGGAAACGGGAAGGAGGGGGGCAAAGAGGAGAAGAAGCGCCCAGTGAGTCAGAACCCTCCGTAGGAATTATCGTTCCCCTGCTCTCACCCAACATTGCCCATCTCAAAAATTAAAATAAAATAGAAAACAGAGCGTGCTGAGTACGTTCTGGATTACTCATAGGACTTTGCCCCCCCCCCCCCCGCCCTTCTGATCGAAAACCCGTGAGCTGGATTTATGACCGCCCTATAAAGCTCCAGAGGCGGTCAGACACCTGCAAAGGAGCCCCACCGCTCCGCGGACCAGCTGCCCCCGCGAGCAGCGGCCTCGTGATTCCCCCCGCCGAGCGGGTCCCCGCCTCCCCACTCTGCCCCCGCCTCCCCCCAGCCCAGCGGCCGCCTCTCCGGAGCTCTCTGTCTTCTCCAGGCTTTCGCGTGCGGACCGGGGTTTGTGCGAGCAAGGAAGCAGCCCAGGGTGATACCTGGCACGTACACCGGTGGCTGAGCCGGAGACGAGCCGGGGTCGCTTCACGCAGGAGCCACTGGAGGGTCCAGCTCGCGCTCGCTGAGCCAAGGTGGGTAACACGGGATCTCCCTGACTTGCCAGCACCCAACCGCGGTTATTCAGCCGGGTCCTCTCAGCCTGAGGCTTCCCCTCAAGCCCTACCCCACCCCGCCCCGCGCGCGAGCCTGTCGCCCACCTTCCGCAGCCTAGTGCTTCCCGCCGGTCCAGCCGCAGCTGCCTGCTGGCGGCCCCCGCCCCCCGGCCCTCCTCACTCTGGCGATCCTTATCAATGGTTTCTTCCGGAGGACACGTAGGAGCTGAAGTGACACCAGAGCCATTTTCCCTGGCGCTTCGGGGCTCGGAGCTCACGGCTCTCGGTTAAGCGCCTGGGCAGCAGCGGCAGAAGGTGCGAGGAGCGCTAACCTGTTACTTCCCCAGCACCCGCGTTCCACCGCCGCCCGCGGAGCTTCGAGAGAGCGCGCGCGGGGACAGATGGCCAGCCCGAGGGGCTAGGCGCAAGAGGCGGCTGGTGGGCTGCGCTCTGCGGGGTCTTAGATTTACCCAGATTCTCATTCTCTCTCTCTCTCTCTCTCTCTCTCTCTCTCTCTCTCTCTCTCTCTCTCTCTCTCTCTCTCTCTCTCTCTCTCTCTCTCTCTCTCTCTCTCTCTCTCTTTCTTTTTCTCTCTCTCTCTTGAGCAAGGGGCGCCGGGCACTCATCTCTATCCGAGGTCTCTAGTGCCCAGGGCGCAAGTTCGCCTCTCAGGTGACGTTCGCCTTTGTACCCTCTGCCACCTTCTGTGGCTCAGTGAGACGAACTCTGGGGACTAGGTAGAGTAGATACGGCGAATCTGGGACGCAGCCTTGCCCTAGACTTGGGATAGCTAGAAACAAGGTGTGACAAGAAGCCGGCCAGCAAGGTTCCGACCCGCTGCCTTTTGGCTGTCTGGAGGGCAAGGTGACTGTTTCTTAGCGGGCCAAGACCTAGGGAAAAAAGAAAACAAAATATGAATCCCTTTACCTCCTCACCTTGTCTCACCAAAGTCCCTGTCCCCGGCGCCGTGAGCTTCCTTCTTTCCAAGGAATTAGCCAGACACAACAACGCGAGCCAGACAGCGACCCAGACGTACCCGCCCCGCGCGCCCTCCCCTTGTCTGCGGGTCTGCCAGGCTGCTGGGAGCCCAATGGGGCTTGTCTCGGCTAGGCTGGAATTCACTCGAAGAGTGCTCCTAGCCCTGTCTCCACCCCCCCCGCGTCCTGCACCCGCCTCGGGAGCCCCTTAGCCCCGAGCCTCACACGGGGTCACCCCGTTGAGCCTCCAGACTTGAGAGTCGCTCTGGGCTACTACTGTGCCTGCGCCCCAGTCTCCGAGCTAGCTAGCGCCTCCCCACCCCCTCCCACCAACCGCGCACCGGGACCCAGCCAGCTCGTTGCCCTTGGTCTCCCTTCCGTCTCGGAGACTTCTGTGACCCGGACCGCAGGACCCAGAAGCTCTCCCCAGTACAGCTCTCCCTTCTGTTCGCAGCCCGTTCCTGCGCCTAACCCGCAGGGGACCCTTGAACGATAGAGACCCCGGGACCACCGAGCTGATGGCATCTTCCACGCCTTCGTCTGCAACCTCCTCGAACGCGGGAGCGGATCCTAATACTACCAACCTGCGCCCTACAAGTAGGTCCTGCCCCAGTTTCCTATTAAATGGACTGCAGCGGAGGTGGGGGCGCTGGGACCGCGGGAGGCCGCGCTGTCGGCACGCTAAAGCAGAGAGTAGAAATGATGGAGGCTGGGAAAGAAACGGGGCGCTATCCCGGGTTCCTGCTTAGAGGTCATTTGGCTGCCCAGGACACGAGAGGTTACTCCCAGGGCACCGAAGGACGAGGATACACAGGGGCCCCCGCGGGATAGATAGATCCTTAGGGTCTTGGCGGCGCGCATGGCGTTGTGTTGTTGTTGTTGTATGTTTGTTTTGGAGACAACAGGGGTCAGAACAGGGGGGGCTGTGTGAGGAACCCGGAGTTCCAGCGAGAAGGGCTTCTTTTTGTCCCCCTCTCTCTCTAGCTTTGAGCTAAGACCTGACCTCCTCCTCTCCTCTCCCTTCCCCGCCCCCAGCGCTGTACTCACAGTCCATAATCAGGGGAAATTTCGACGTTAATTGCAGCTTTTAGAAAACTCAGGGTCCCTAATTGCTCCAAATTTGTGTCTAGCTATTGACGAGTGAAGGCGAAGCCAGGGGCGTGGAAGGTGCACAAAACCGCTTGAGGTTCAATTAATTACATCTTAGAGACAAAAAGGGCGAAGGCGGGGGGGGGGGGGGGGAGTAGGCATCATCCAGGGTGGCAAGATGTGGGGGCTAACTAGGAGGAGAAATGGCTTGCCAAGCCTGGAGGCAACAGCACCCCGATGCTTTCTCCTGGCCAAGAGACCTGTGCGCAGGTGACAGTCTTGGAGAGAAGAGGGAAACCACATAAAGGGGGCATTTATGCTTCTCCACCCTGTCTGTCTCTAATTCGGAGTGACTTTCTGACTCCGTATAGAGGAACAGAGGCGCGGGATTTGTTTGTCTTTTTCCCATGTTGGGGTGAGCCTTTCCCACCGCTCTCCCACAAACCTATCAAGCTCCAGACAGCTCTGGCCCCAGAATCTCTACAGGGGAGGAGCTGAGGGAGACCGGTGTGGTTCAGAGTGCTCAGTGCTGCGATTTTTAGGGCACTTATCATAAGCCTGTGAAAACAATTGTTTCCATCAACGCAAGGAAAGGCAGGAAAGCCGCCCCCCCTTCCGGTCAATCTCTTGGTGCAGACTCTGGGGCAGGAGGCCCTAATTCCTCAGGCAACCTTGCAGCCCCCTGTCCCGGCAAGCAGACAGGCTGCAATTGCACACACAACAAAGCGGGGCTCTAGAGAATCGTCAGCGCTGGCGGCCCGGGAGCCAGGCGTTGGTGGTGGAGCCGGCGGTGGGAGCCGGCCTGGCAGACCTCCGAGGCCTGCGCCCCTTTTGTCTGTGATTGGGCCTGCACAGATTTCTTTCACGGCCCTCCCCACCTTACTCCAGTCCTCATCCTCACAATGCAGACTTTTATTTCCTCTCCTTCAGGGTTTGGGGCAAACCATCACACTGGGTACCCACACATCCTACAGGCAGATTACCTCAATCCTCAAATGCCCAGCCTCAGCAAAGGTGAGGCGATGGTGCCTCTGAAAACCACCTAAATGGTGGCCAGAGATCTTAGGACTCCCCGTCGGGGCGAATATCCCTTCCCTAGGAACGCCTACCCATAACTGGAGAGCCTGGGAGCACGGGTCCCGGGCTCCGTTCTCTTTCCGCCCTCTCGGAAGACACACCCCCACCTGCCAAGCTTGCTGCGGGTCTCAGCCTCGGCTGGATTCTCTGCTAAGCGTCCCGTTCTGCTCCCGTACAAACCTTACACTCCTTATTCCAGCCATCCCCTAGCAGGCAGGAGCTCTCCGCCTATTGGAAAAGGTGTTCTCAACTCCTGCCACAACAAAGGGGTTCTCGCTCACCTCTCTTCCTTCCTGTTTTCCTGTTTTTATTGACGCCTAACTTGAAGGAAAAGGCAAACTGGAATGTTTCTGAAGGCCAACCTCAGGCCAAGTGACCTTGGGAAACGCTAACCTCCCTGAGCAGAAATGCTTTTGTCACCTGAGTCTTAGAGCCACACTCCTGAGTGTTTTGTGGGTCGTTTTGACGATCAGATGAGTTGGCGTTTAAAGAGAAAGCACGGATATTGGGAAAGTGGAGCTCTATGCGCCGGGTTTTGCTGTTGCACGGATTTCCTGTCTGTCCGTGGGATTCCATCTGTGACACACTGTCTCACGACGTCAGGCCGTTTCTTCTCCCCTCCGGGGCTCTGTTGTGCCTAGGGTTTAATGGATGTCACTCTGCTTATCTCAGCCAACACTCGCGCGCCGCCCGGAGAAGCGACCCGGGTGGGGTGGGGGATGGGAGGCGCCGTGCACGGAGGGCTGGGAAGGGAATGTCTTCTTGGGCCCACCCTACACGAAGTCTTCTCAGGGCGGCAGGCTGCCTCTTCGCCTTCTTTGCTGGGAGTTAATGCTCCTGCAGCCCGAGGTTCAGACCCAGAGGAGAGGTGGCCGGCCGCATCTGCCTGCCCCAACCTCTGGGAGTCGGAAGGGAGGGTTAATGAGGGCCAGGTTGCGAAGGGGGTTATGGGTGGGCTGAGGACAGGACGACGGGGGCACCATTGTCTTCCCTACTCCCCAGTCTGACTGGAGCAGCCATGCGAGCCCGATCATCTAGTCAAATACTATTTTTCACCCAATTAATTCCTGAACTCTTCCGCGACCCCATTTCATGCCAGTTTATTTTAAGCTGCCACTCGGCTGGAGACCCGCCAAGAAATTATGAGACGTTTGGGTCCCAGATGCTTCTGTGTTCCCTCTCTGAGCCGCTGTGTTGTTCCCTTCAAGTCCGGAGGACTAAGACCTGGGGCTGGGCGAGCCAGGCAAGCTCCAAGGCCGTCTTTGTGTGTGTGGTTAGACCGCTTGGGCATGGCATCCATGGCTGTGAGCTCTACTTCTCCAAAACACGGTTCAGTGCCTGAAGTGAGCACGCGTGATGAGAGCGAGGAGCTCTGGCTGTGAACCAAAGATGCAGGTAGCTCCGAGTTCCTCCAGAACAGGGGTTTTCATGAGATGCTCTGGAGAGGGCCTCCACAGCCTGAACCTTGCTAATTTCTTTTTCCTGTCTCTGCCCCCAGCATATGATACTTGGTGTGGTGTAGCCCATGGATGCACCAGAAAACTGGGCCTGAAGATCTGTGGTAAGTGAACAGGCTCTCAGGGGGTGGGTCTCCTCAGAGTGGAGTGACTCACGGGCCAGTGGGTTTGTAGGAGTGTCGCACATCCGTAGGGGTACCCTGACCCCTGTGTCCCAGCGCCCAATGAAGGCGGTCTCATGGAAGCCCTGGTCCTCCTCACTCGCCAGGAGAGAGAGGTCTATACCTTTTAGAGACCCAATAACCAGAAAACGCTTAAATACAGGCACTCATTTCGCCCAGTAAGGCCTCGGAAGCAGGGATACAGCACCCCCAAGCGGCAGCCATGCTGTCCTCGCCGGCGCCTGGCTGCTTAGACTTAGCGCGTTCTGCCCTGAGTCTGTAAAAACCGCACAAAAATTGCCAACTGGTCTGGTTTTCCGGGCAAACCGACCAAAGGTGCACTATGTATCAAGGCTGCCACTGATCCTTCGTGGTTGCCCACGCCATCCTCCATCCCCAGTTGAAGTGGCATCTCCAGCCTGAGGGGTTTGCACCGAATTGTCACCGTGATTCAAATTTCGTTCTTGGGGCTTGAGGGGAGGGTGGCAAGAAAGGGAAAGGGTCGCCTACAGCCCTAGGTGGCCTGTCTAGGCGAAGTGCGAGCAGTGTGGGTTTGCCCTGCAGGTCTTCGACGGCAGCAGAAAAAAAGGAAGTGGGGGCAGGTGTGGAGGGGGAGCTTCAGGGAGGGAGAGAACCTGGGGGAGGGAGGCATTGTCTGGCACGGTTTGCCAGCAGGGAAGGAAAACAGATCTGAGGAGGGGAGAGGAAAAGGAGCGGGAGGGTCTGAAATGAAAACGCCCAAGGGATGTATTTTTTTTTAAAGAAGGAAAAAAACAACCAAAACAAGAGATTTGTTCGAAGGGACACAGCTGAGTGGCTCCGGCTGAACAATGAGGAGTTTCTTTCCTGATTACATTTCACCATCTAAAATTCTCTAGCCTTATCGGACCAGAAAATACGGGTGTCCCCGGGCAGGGGATGGAGAGGCGCGCGGGGCGGGGGGAGATTAACGAGGGGCTTATTAAAGAGCCATCCGTCAGCTGTTGCGAGAGATAGCAGCAGAGCGGCGCAGCCGGGCGCTGAGCTCCGCCCCCCATCCTAGGGACCCGGAGGGGAATGGGTGCTGTGGAGGCCTGACCTTCCCGCCTCTCCAACTCCCGGTCCTTCCGGCCCCCGGGTCGTGGCTATTCAGACTCGGTGAGGGAGAGTGGTTATTTAGGGCTTTGGGAAATCAGCGACCTTCCATGGTTGGCTGTGCATCATCCTCCTTGCATGGGGCCCTGGATCCCGGGATCCACTATTAACCGGTAACGAAAACAAGGCTCAGTTGCAAGACCCACAGATGCAGGAGTCCAGCCCTGCGGCCATAGGACCCAGCGGTTTAGAGATCCAGTCCTCGGCAGGCAAAACTGGTGGGCAACACCAGAAGCGGTCTCTATGCTAGAGCAGTCAACAGCCCAGAGCTTTGTGCTATTAATAGCCCCTTCCCACTCCCACCCAGCCATTCCTGGCTTAATGGCCCGTTTCTGGCTGGTCCCTTTTGGCGCCATGGCTCCTGCCTTCTGCTGCTGTCACTGTTGTGCAATCCGATGGCAAACAGAACGAAAGAGCCCGGGCCGTGTGATGCTGCGGGTAGGGACAGGTTCCAGGTGAAGGCCACTTTTCTCCCCTGGCCTGTGGGAGCTAGGGTGTGAAGGCACAGTCTCCATCCTGCCTCCTCCTGATCTTGACACTGGTCTTTGGAATAAAAGGTCCAAATGCTCCCGAGGCAGACCCGATGTCCTGAAAGGGAAAGGGACCAGGATAAAGTCAGGGTTTGGCTGAGCCCAGAGTCGGGGCTCTAAGTCATTTCATTTTCACCTCCTCTGAAAACCCATGCCACAAGGGAGAGCTTGGGGCATGGGAGTGGTGGCTGTCATCCATGAAGAGGTTCCTCTCTGTAAACACACACACACACACACACACACACACACACACACTTTGGGACAAGTTGCAAACTGAGTGACTGGAGGGAGCAGAGGACAGTACTGCTGGAAAATTACCCTTTACTAAAATGCTGTCCCTTTGGGGGCCACAGGGCTGCCCACCAGACTTGATGCTGAAAGAAGACAAACACAATGTAAGGATTCATTTCCCATATTTGGGCCATGTCTGGCTTTCTAATGTAAGCAAGTGGAAGTAGAATGCACCAGTCAACTAGTGGGGACCCCTGAACCCACAGCCCAGACTCCAAACCGTTCCCAAACTCCTTTCATTCCAGACCCTTTACACCCCCAGGTTCGCACCATCTTGACCTAAGATCAACAAGGTTGGCTTGACAGCCAAGCATCTAATAGTCTCTTTCTACCTTCAAACCCATCACCCTGGATGGGCCCCTAAGCATCTGTGTTTTGCTAAGATTCACCTCTCACCCACCCCTGTCCCCCTCCTTACTCCAGGGAATGAAGCTGCAAGGATAGCCACAGAGTCCCCAGTCAAACCCTCAGCTCCAGAGGCAGAACCCCCCTGGGAGAGTAATCAGATGGAGGAACCCCAAGGTTCTGCCAAGAGCTGGAGAACGGCTGCAGGCTTGGTGGCATGACCTAGATAAAGTGGCTAGCATGCCTAAGCTCTGGCTCTGCCAGTTCTCCAGCCTGTCCTTGGTCTTCCATCATTTATCCCCGTAGAGGTCCAAAGCTTGCTGCCCAGACTGTCCCTCCACACGTGTTTTAAGTTTTTAATCAGTTGCCTGTTTTAAGGATAGAGATACCTCATGCACTCCATATCTCTGGTTTCTTGTGAAAATCATAGGAGATCTGTTAATATGCCCTGTGTCCATAGAAATCAAAAGGAGCTCCTTTCCCTAAGCTGACTTGGTGTTGGGTTTCAGTATTCCCCGTGCCCGGTGACCATGTGTCTTTATGCCACACCTAGCTTGGAGCTTCACTTGCAAACAACTATCTGGAGCATGGCGCTCTCTGTTTCTACACAGCTCACTGGGGCCCTGGCCTTTGAGTCGGGGAATGAGAATGAAGAACACCAGCATCCCAGAGGGGGTGTCCTCCCAGGATGCTGCTGCTCACCTTCATTTGAGGGTGGGTGCCATCTGTAGCTTGAACCAGCACAAGCTGCAAGCTCTGTCCCCTGTGCTGGTTACTCACATGCTGGCACTAACTCCTGGTAGCTGGGGTTCAGAGTAAGGGAGAATATAGGGTGCTTCTGGGAAGTTTCAGGGACCCCATAGCCAGGACCCCTTGTTAGTGAGACCACTGTTAAAGCATTCACCTCATCCTCCACTTAATTTATCATCTCCGCCATTCTTAGAGAAGCAGATACCTCCTTGCAGGGCCCCTCTGAGCCAAGAGGAGCTTGGATCAGATGGTAGAGACTACAGAGTAGGTCTCAGTGGGACAGGACCACTCTTCATTGAGCCATGTGAATTTGGTTTCTCCAGCCAGACATACTCTACAACCATTGTTCTGGACAAAGGGAAACAGTGCCAGGGACCAGGACCCTACAACCCTCTAGTGAATGAGTGCTGCCTCCTGGCTCTGAACTCTTGATTATGTCTCAAGGATCTTAGTTTCTACAAAGGCAGCTCTATGAGCAGGGTACGGTGTTTCATAGGGGGGGGGTGGACATGCTCCAAGCTGGCAGGCACTCCAGTCTGTTGGGTTCCACCCCGCTTCCTGGAGTGATGTTAGGGATGTTTGCACTGTCTACCATGGGTGAGTTTTCTTCTCCTTCTTGGGGGAAGTAATGGGGTGCTGTGAACCCCAGCCTGAGCTCAGAGTTCATTTCAGCATGCTTCTGGATAGTTTCCTGGAATCACTGTAACAGAGGTGGCCAGATGCCAGACTGAGGCTTCTGGAGGATGGGAGATTGGTCTCACTTCATCTGTCTCATTCTAAATAAATAACAAGCTGCTCTTCTACAAGCGCTCCATAAGTACCTATAGCTAGCCAAACCCATGTCAAGGCTGGGAGATGCTGGGGCCTTCTTGTCTTTTCCTAATACTTTCATCACCTGAGATGGGTGACTCAGGAAGAGCTGTGCTTCATATTCGAGTTAAAAATATTATACCTGTGATATATACCTGGTGCCAGAGAAAAGACATCTTCCTTAACTTCCAGGACCTTATCCTTCCCTCTGCTGTCCTCACCCTCCTCCCTCTGCTGTCCTCACCCTCCTCCCTCTGCTGTCCTCACCCTCCTCCCTCTGCTGCCCTCACCCTCCTCCCTGTGCTGTCCTCACCCTCCTCCCTGTGCTGTCCTCACCCTCCTCCCTGTGCTGTCCTCACCCTCCTCCCTGTGCTGTCCTCACCCTCCTCCCTCTGCTGTCCTCACCCTCCTCCCTCTGCTGTCCTCACCCTCCTCCCTCTGCTGTCCTCGCCCTCCTCCCTCTGCTGTCCTCACCCTCCTCCCTCTGCTGTCCTCACCCTCCTCCCTCTGCTGTCTTCATCCCATTGGTTCCACAGCCCACAAACCCAATGTTGTCAGCATCCTCTCCGTCCCTTCTTTCCAAACCCCGTCCTGGGGCTGGTTACTGGAGTGGAAGCTGTCCAGTCAACTTAATTCAGTTGTTGTCACGTTCAGAGAGGATATGGGGCTCACTTGCCGCTTTTCTCTCCTGCATGACTGGGTCTGTGCCACTGATGACACCTGACACAGCCAGCCCCTCCCCGCCTGAAGCAAGCAGTGCAGAATCACTGTGTATAAACCACACACTCTCAGTGGCTTCTCTCCTCAGCAAAAAAAACGAGATCTCTGCTTGGGGGTCAGTCAGACATGGCTGCCCTTTGGTGGCTGGGTAGTTCCCAGACTCTCTTAACAACCTTCTTGTGCTTTAGGCTTCTTGCAAAGGACCAACAGCCTGGAAGAGAAGAGTCGCCTTGTGAGCGCCTTTAGGGAGAAGCAGTCCTCCAAGAACCTGCTTTCCTGTGAAAACGGTGACCCGGGTGCCCGATTCCGGCGCACAGAGACGGACTTCTCCAACCTATTTGCTCAAGGTGATCCCTCCCCAGCCCTCACCCAGCCTAGCCAGCAGTGCCTCATTTGAGTATCTTGATTACCTCCCCCCCATCCTCTCCCCAACCACGCTCGCCAAATTTACTTCTTTCACTGAGAAATGCCATGTTTTGTGAACCCTCATGAAACCTCCTTTCTGGCCTTTGTATGGGTCGGCTCCCTCCTCCCAACTGCCCAGGCCCCCGCTGTTTTGAAAGGCGGATGATGGAACTCTGTAAATCATGCAACTCTAAAGACACTCCCAGAGACAAACAGGGACACAGAGGGTCGCAGACGCTAAAAGAATCTTACAATCAGAACATCGAATGATTCTCTTAACATCACTTATCCTCCCAGATTACCGACCCCCAAACGCCCAACCCACTCTCTGGTAAACTGTACACTGGGGCTCTCTTGCTAGCTCCCCCTGCTGGCTCTGCAATGCAGGCCTTGGGAGGTGCTTCACGAGGCCCTCACATGTACTCCTCCCTCCATTAACTCCTACACAACCACAGAGACCACAGCTTCCTTAAACCTCTGAGACAGCCATGCAGCGGATGGCCACACATCCTGCTCCTGTGCTCCCCTGGAAACATCACCCAGGGGCCCCAACAGCTCCCCTCCTTCCTGCGTACCCCCTTTCCCAATTCTGATCACCTCCAGATACTTAAAAAATATCTAGTCCCCAAAGGATGAAGTCAACAGAAGGTGGTGGTCCCTCTGTGGCCTTCCAGAACCCATACCCACAGCAGCCCCACCTTCTGCTACTCACAGATCAAGCAAATTATGAATACCAAACCAGATGCACAGGGACACCTGGCCCCTAGGAGGCCAACAGAAGCACTTTACATCTTGTTCCTCACAGGTGTCCATTCAGCAAATGGACAGCTGCCAGCGTCAGCTGCTGGAGGTTTCTCTAAGCACTCCACTCCTCCCCCATACGAGCAGTCCTGCCTATCAACAAGTGTATAAAGCCCTAGGAATGCATCAAATGACTTGGTGTGGGCCCGAAGTGCATCCTTCTGGGAGCTGGGTATCCCAATACCAGTATAGACCCCTAACCTGGAAAGCGCCTGAGCCCCTCTGGAGGCTGACCCAGGGAAACACAGGTATGAGGCAGGTGGTAATCGCTCTTTGGCTTCCCTCCTCTGGTTAGATCTGCTTCCGGCCAAGAATGGGGAGGAGCAAACTGTGCAGTTCCTGCTGGAGGTGGTGGACATACTCCTCAACTATGTCCGCAAGACGTTTGATCGCTCCACCAAGGTGCTGGACTTCCACCACCCACACCAGTTACTAGAAGGCATGGAGGGCTTCAATTTGGAGCTGTCTGACCACCCTGAGTCTCTGGAGCAGATCCTGGTTGACTGTAGAGACACCCTAAAGTACGGGGTTCGTACAGGTAAGCGTGAGGACAGGTTGACCACCCACCTCACCTAGCTGGTCAGGAGCATAGCCAAATCAGGTTGAAGAGGCTCTGTCCTGGTGAGGGAGGACACCAGGTGCTCAATGACAACAAGGTCATCCTGGGCCGCAATGACTGGAGCAGTAACCCTGGCAATAACCCGTGTCTTTTAAACTAAAAAGGTACTGAGATGTGGTAGTAGGTCATTTATTGCTTGTTTTTGTTACAGACTGTTCATAGTCTACAGAGAGTAGAGTGGCCCATTCCTTTAGTCATGCCTCGGGTCCACCTCACTCGGGGAGCCCCACCTCCCTTGTCTGTCACAAGCTTCCCTCTTTGTTGGTGTCGGTCTCTAAGGGTTGTCATTACAGACTATCACAAACAAGAGGAATTTATTTTTTCATGGTTGTTGAGGCAGAGCCTTCAAAATCAAGGTGTCAGCAGGGCCATGGTTTCTTTGAAGGTGCCCAGAAAAGATTCACCCTTGCCTTTGTGGCTTCTGGTACTCCTGGGCGTTTTCCTTGGCATTTCTTAGCTTATAGGTGCCTCACGGTGGCCTCGTGTTTGCATCTGCAAAAACCCTGTCGCCAAGTAAAGCCACAGTCACAGGAACAAGGGACCGGGCCTCGAATTCATCTCTTTTGGGAATACAATTCAATGCAGAACACCCAAAAGGAGTCCCCTTCTCCCCTCTTCCTTCCCTCCCCCTCCCCCTCTCCCCCACTTGCATCATATTCCAGTGAGTCACCAAGTCCTATCTCCTACTTAGAGACTGTCCTTTCGACCCCTTTTCACCTCTCCCAGAGCCTCTCTAATCAGCAATCCTGGATCAAGTGCTTACTTTAAAATCACCCCAAGTTCAAAGACATCCTAAGCCTCTGCAGGAGCTGTTTCTTAGCACTGAAATAGTTTCTCTGCCTGGCGACTCTCTTCCCTCCCCGCCTGGCTCTGTTGCGCCCTTAGGCAGACAGATCTTCAGGGCTTGGGGGTCCTGGGCACAGTTGCCATCACAGGGCGAAGCCTCCATGTGAGGCTTGGCACATTCTTGCGTGCCCTGCTTCTTTCTCTCTCTGCCTCTATCTCCCCTCATCTAAACCCTAGAAGATAGACTGAAGACCAAGAGCCTGGAGGCTGGAATCAATAAAGTGAGGTGATTGGATGTGGGCCACACACTGTTCTAACGAACTAATGAGGCCGACCAAAGACGCTGTTTAAATCAGGGGTTCCAAGTAGCTTTTGAGGTTAGTCAGCACCACCAGCCTAAATGTAGTCTCAGTTTGTAAGACTCAGTCACATGCACAAAGTCTGTCTCCTTTGTTGAAGAAAAGCACTCATCAATTCAGCTCTACCGCCACCCCTAAGGCCTGATGCTAACCTGTTCCCTGGGGGAGAAGTGCTGCTTTGCTGGTTTACAAGAGAGCCAGAGTTCCCTGTTTCCGCTTGACTCGCTTCGACCAATGCTCGTGTCTCATCAGTTTGTTCTACACACTTTCTTTGTGTTAGGGAAACATCTGTCTGTCTGTCTGTTGTCTGTCTACCATCTATCTATCTATATATCATCTACATCTATCTATCTATCTATCTATCTATCCATCCATCCATCCATCCATCCATCCATCCATTAAAGCCCCAAATGTCTCTCAAAGAGAACACAGAATTGTGTCATCTCACGCCTGCGGTCGGAGAAAGCATATCACCATTAGCTCATTGCATATCATCAGCTCATCGTATGAGTCCACCGAGATGTTTAGTCTGTGGCACTTCTGATGGGCACAGCAGCTTCCAGAGGCAGACATTTGCATTTGCAGAGTACATAATCTTCCACACAACATGGAACTTTCTGCTGCCCTTCACACTGTTGGCACTGGCTAAAGGACACCATTGCTGCTGTATCAAAAGCCAGCTCCTGGTTGCTGACCTATAGTTTCGAGTATACATTCAAATGACAGACTAAACCCCTGACACATATCAGAAACATTTTGAAGGATATGAGTGCCAAAATAATGAATTGGGTTCTAATAATGAGTCCAGCTGTGCCAGGTACAGTCTAAGAAAGGATATGGGGGCATTTGACATTGCTCTGCAAATTAACAAAGGACCCAGCACATGCTTTTCCTTGGACTGCTGCAGGGATGAGGCAGCCTTCAATCAGAGCAGCCACTTAGGGGATTGCTGGCTTGTTCTTTTTTTAACTTCTCATTACGGAAAGTTTGAATTCATACCAAAGTAGAATTGAATAATGAACCCATGCACCCAACACCCAGCTTTAACTATCACCAACTCCTGCCCATGTCACTTCACCCTGACCCCGTCTCTGCATTGTATGGAAACAAGTCCCCAAGAAAATATTATTGCAACACCTATCTGCACCTTCAAGAATTTCGTTTAAAAATCATGTCAGTGTTCCAGCTGGAAAAAAAAACCAAGTTCCTTAATACTATGAAACATTCAATTGCCTCATGAATATATAAGAGCTTTTGTTGCATGTTGTTTCCATTCTCTTGAATCCGGATCCAGTTAAGTCCCTGCACACTGCAGTTGGTTTATGCACATCCCATTCAATAGATTTCTTCCTGCATCTCTTTCTTCTTTGCAGTTTAGTTGTTGGAAAAATCCTACCTTAAAATGACTTTCTCCCCTTACTTGAAATTAGACCATGCATTATCCAGTGTTTTGTCATAATTAAAACCAAAATCAAGGGTTAGACCTGGCAATGTGTGCCCAAAAAGCCAGTACTTAGAAGGTGAAGTTAAGAATAGTTTGAGGATAGTCTGGGCTACATAACAAGACCTAGCTACAAAGTAAAATACGGAGGGAAAGATGAGAAGGGAGGGAACGAGGGAAGAAGGAACTGAATCTAATAGGGTCTGCTCGGCAGAGGCTGTTAGAGGCTCTGCAGGCGGAGGCTGTGGCCATCTGATAAAGGGTGTTGGGGGACAGACTGTTTCACTTTGTGCCAGACTCGGTCTTGTGTTCTTCTGCCATGCGGTGTGGCTTTGGTACCCTATCAAAGTGTGATTCAGTTTATTTATAATCCAGTATTAACTTGGGATGAAAGAATTGTTTTTTACAGTTTTCAAGTGGCTACCATATATACTTTAATAGATTTCAACAGAAGTATTTCTTTAGGTTTTTTTTGTTGTTGTTGTTGTTTTGTTTTTTGAGACAGGCTTTCTCTGTGACTTTGGAGGCTGTCCTGGAACTAGCTCTCATAGACCAGACTGGTCTCGAACTCACAGAGATCTGCCTCCCTCTGCCTCCCAAGTGCTGGGATTAAAGGTGTGCGCCACCACCCCCAGCTTAGAATATTTTTATCATTTGACAATTTCATACATGTATACAACGTGTCTTGATTACAACCCCTACCACTCTCCCTGACGCCCCCAAAAGTCCCCCTCCTACCTTCATGTTGTCTTTTTATTTATTTTATTTTAATTTTTTGGTTTTTTTTTCAAGACAGGGTTTCTCTGTGTAGTCTTGACTGTCCTGGAACTCGCTCTGTAGAACAGGCTGGCCTCAAACTCACAAAGATCACCTGCCTCTGCCTCTCTGAGTGCTGGGATTAAATGTGTGTGCCACCACCACCCAGCGTCTTTTTATTTTTTATAATCTGTTAAGTCTAATTAGTATTGCCTACATGTGCCTGGGTGTAGGGCCTTTCACCTGACTGCAGGTATCAGCAGCCATGCTCCTGAAGAAAAGGACCCCTCCTTTCCCAGGACATTGAGGGGAAAGCAGATTCTCAGGGAGGAGACTTAGACCAGGAACATTCCACCTCTAGCTCTCTGACAGTTACTCACGGACAAAGGCAGTTTCCACTGGAAACGTAGCAGTCAGCAGATCTCCCCAACACTGTCGTCTGTCACATATTCCCTAGATAATGTATTGTGGTGACTCCTTCATGACAGCTGAGCCAAGCCTGCTGATGTGGATTTGAGCTTTTGGTAAACATCAAGTTAGCAACACCTTGGCAATAGTCATAAGTTCACTGAGGGCAGAGCCAGTTGAGGCGCAATGTGGGTGCATGGGACTTTGGAGTCGCAGAGCGCAAGGGTTTCTGTGCTCAGGAACTGAGTGAGGATTGATCTGCCTACTCACAGAGGAGATGCTGGGTCAGCTCAGCTCTTAATCCGTTTAGCTCCATTACTTTAACGGACACATAACTCTAGATGGGCAAAGAACACTGATGCTTGCCATCACATCTGTCCGAGAGACCAGAGGGTAGTAGGTGGTCTCCACACCAGGTCTGACTTGAAACTTCCCTCAGGCTTGGTTTGAGCCACAGAAGTCTGAGGCCCACAGCCTCCTCTCCATTGGCCAATCTCAACCTGGCTTTTAAGTCCTTGTGATAGTGAAGTGAAAGTTGCAATAGGTATGAAAAGAATAAGAACTAGCATGCCGTTCAGTAGGGAGTTAGGAATGAGCCTTAGTTTGTAATCCAAGCTGGCCTTGAACTCACAAGCCCCTCACCCCTGGCCCCCAAGATCACAGATGCACATCACCTTGCAGGGCGTTCCCATGTAACTGAAGAAATGTGTGTGGCAGAAGAGCTCAGCTGAAAGCCAGCAAATACGATAGTGGAAAGCATAGCTCTTTTTACGAGTCTCAATTTTGGGGCATATGTCTTTTGTCTTATTTGCTTGTGTGGGTGTTTTGCTGCATATGGTACACTGTATATGCATGCCTGTATACCGTGTGTGTGCAGTGTTCACAGAGGCCAGAAGAGGGCAGCAGATCACCTGGGATTGGAGTTACAGATGGTTATAAACCACCATGAGGGTGCTAGGGATCAAACCTGGGTCCTCTGGAAGAGCAGCCAATGTTCTTAACCACTGAGCCATCATCCCAGGCCCAATTTTCAATTTAAAAGCATGGTACCTTAGAAACATAGACATCTGAGGGTTTCATTGGTGCTAACCCCCCCCCCCTGCTCCATTATCCTTGGTGATCACAGGATGGAGATCACATCCGTGTGGTCCAGCCCTTTTGCTCTGAAGATAGATTGCAAAATCTGGCTTTGCCTTAATGCTTGCCTGTTGCCATTCCAGGTCATCCTCGATTTTTCAACCAGCTCTCTACTGGTTTGGATATCATTGGTTTGGCTGGCGAGTGGCTGACATCAACTGCCAATACCAATATGTAAGTCTTGTGTATTCTTTTCCTACAAGTACACGTGATGCATATGGCTTAAAATGTTCAACTCTGATGGTTCTGTTTGCTTATAGTTATTTTTTCTCACAACACCTTTTAGATTTTTCACAAGGTGAAAAATTGTTCTTGAATGATGTAATGAGAGCACGCTTGCGGAAAATGATAGCTAGCTTTGAAATCTCTGTGTGCACTTTCACAACATCCTGTTTCTCTGAATGCACTTTCACAACATCCTGTTTCTCTGAATGCACTTTCACAACATCCTGTTTCTCTGAATGCACCTGCTTTGGACTGTGATTTTGCTACTTTACCACTTAGGCTGTATTTCCTCCATAATCAAGCTGTTATTAGCCACAAATCACCTTGATCAACCTATTGGTTAACTAAAACGTCTACAACAACATCCATCTACAGTAGATATAGCATGTGTTCATTTCAAAGTAGCTGGTAGTTTTTGCTGAGTTTAACACTTTGGAAACCTCGGCTTGCTTGTGTAGACACCATTTTCACTCAGTTATACAATCTTTTAAATTTATATGAAACTTATTCCAAGATTTTAAAGGTTCAAGTACAACCAGGTTAGTCTCAGCAATCACCCCTCAAATTTCCTTTACACATGTGTGTCATCTTTGGAGGTAAGACTGTATTACAAGATATGGGGGGTAACCATAGCTTCAAGATAATTATCTCTTCCCTCCACACTAATGATAGTGTTTTGCCACTACCAATGCACCCAGACAGTGGCATAACATTCAAATAAAGTATCCAGAGGAAATTAATGAAGCAAACTTATTACAATAATTTAGCAATGACTGCATAAGAACCTCAGGGGTGCCTGTCACTACTGCACATTGAGAAGCTATTTAGCCGTTTTTTGTCAGCTACCCTGTGGCCCTGGGGTCAAGCCCAGGCCAGGGCATGCTTAGCATTCCTTCTGCCATGGTTCTCCACCTCAGCCCTCAACTCAAACTAGTTTCTGAAAAAAGCGAACTTAGGTGAACGAATGGGATTGTAAGAAGTGCCTCCTGACATAGGCAGAGATCTGGTTATTAAAGTTCAAGGTGATCTTTAAACTATGAATCGCTCTTGTGTATCCCAAGGCTGCCTAATACTGTGGCTCAAGATGCTAAAACACTTAGTATTTTGATACTAAATACTAAGAAATCCAGACCAGAATTTAAAAGTAAAGGGGGCAGGTGGAGCCTTTTATGCTAAAAGGCTTAAAAGTTCAATTGATTAGAAAATGAAAGTGATGCCAGGTGATGGTGGCACACGCCTTTAATCCCAGCACTCGGGAGGCAGAGGCAGGAGGATCTCTGTGAGTTCGTAGGCCGGTCTGGACCGACAGCCTCCAAAACAATACAGAGAAACCCTGTCTCATAAAAACCAAAAAAAAAAAAAAATGAAAGTGACTTTACTCTCGCTGCTCACGCACGAGTCATGCCGTCTTCATGGCGTGAACTCAGGTCAGAGATGCAGTCGTCTCCACCAGCCCCTCAAACACAGAGTCCCCTTTTGCCGTCTTTGTCCTATTATGGTTTGTAGAATAAAATATTTATCATCAAGTGCAAACATCATGACATACTAATTATAACACGAAGAAAATACACTAATGCTTAATTGTAGCATCTAATGGGAAGGAACAACTTAAATTAGAAAATGTTGTCTGTTTGTTTGAACCCAGCAATTTAGGAAATAGTGAGAAAAGCAAAGTAAAGGGAATATATGCATCTGGGCTGGGGGTGTGGCTCAGAGGTAGACCGCATACTAAGGCCATAGGTTTCATCTTCTCTGACCCACCCACCCTCAAAAAAGAGTACATGTTCAGTGTGGTCCAAATATCCATAGTGACATAGGCACTGTATTCACCAATCTTTAAATGTGTTCTACAGGCCTCGGACTGCAGCTTCTAATATGTAGCCAATATCAAGGTAAATAAAAAGAGTTCACCCCTTTGAACCACTTATAAGTAAATCTTAAAAGCTTTTCTTGAACCATAAAACTCTCATGGATTCTTTTCCCCCCTTTTGGTCTATATTCATAAAATCAAAATCCTTGACTCTTCCCTCAGCTCAGCTCAGCCATGAAACACTAAAATATGTCCCAGCCACCTGAGGTCAAGGCCAAGCCAGCTAAATGACACATAGTAATTGCCTCTCTGCTGAACAGGAGGTATTTGTAAAATATGATTCGATTCCAACAGATCGATAGAGACAGTTATTTAGAATAGTGAAAGATCTCCTGTCAGCTCTAGGGACAGGCATTGTGTGAGGAAGTGATAACTATTCTCTAGACAGTCTCCTAGGCCAGGTTCCCTGGAAGATCATGACATGTGACAGCATCACAGGCGCGCAGGTACATTTGCTCCCTTGTGACAGTTCCTTCCACAGCTAGGAATGCTGCTTCAAATAAGCCTGGGAGAGACTGGCAGGAGAGCTTTATTCTAGCCAATTGTGATTTAATTACTGATATGCTCACACCTCCCCTTCCTCCCCACATCCACTGAGTTTGGGTAGCACTGGTGACAGAGCGTAATTACTATCTCTGGCAAGTCCTTTCAAAGAATGATCCAATATCCTCATTCAGATGGAAGTGTAGGGCATCTGACTGGTTAGCAAAGAAAGAATGTTCATGACCATGTTTTTATATCAGTCTGTGCATGCAGCTCTGGGACCTGTTCTCCCAGGCAAGGACCTATGAGGGTACAACAAAAGCTTTGCGAATGCGTAGCTGTTCTTGGCACGTACCCCTCTTCCACCAAGTCCGCCAAGAACAACTGTGCAGGTTGTGTAAGCCACAGCACCTGGTGACACATGTAATTGCGACAGCAAGCTCTGCCTCTCTTCTTTGCCACGAGCTTGAGCGTCTCACACATCTGCTGCTTTATTTTCATGGAAGTTACACTGGAGAAATTTCCAGTGGAGCCATCAGTCATCATACACTGAGGGACAAGCTGTTAGAACAGAGCCTGCAACAAGCAGTCCCCATTTGTCACGAAGAAACAGCTACGGCATTAAAGGACGGGGATTTCTGACCCTGAAACCAACTACTGAGATCTCACACAAATCAAAGCATTCCTCTGAGTTTCTGTCTTTCATCACGAAAGCAGGGGCAATGATGTCTTCCCTACAGAGTGGTTCCGAAGATTTAACAATGGCTCAGTCCTAAGTGCCTACGGTATGCAAGACACCCACACCCCCAGGGTAGGTAGGCACACACAGCTTCCCAGCTCTTGTTTCTAACTCTTGCCATCTCTGGACAAAAGAACATCTCCCGAAGGTCCCCTTACATATCTTACTTATGGCACCTGCCACATCTGCAAAGAGAGGAGGTCTAAGAGGATGGACAACAGCCTGTGTGGAAGTCTTTCATTAAGGTCCTCAGCCTGGAAGTCACCAGAACTCCAGGTTCCTCTGTGCCTTTCTGGTTCACGCTATACCATAAAGCTCTCAGCTACAGAGCTACTCCACGTTGCATGCAGATTGCTGAAGTTCTAGCCATTACTTTCTGTTTCAAGACTTAGGGAAGCAGGAGGGCATGATGGACTGAGGGGCTGGGGAAGACAGGAAGGGAAGGAAGCTTGAGTAGCAGGCATAGCGGAGGCAGGCAAAGCAGGGGCGTAGTGTTACCCCAAAATCAATCAATCAATCAATCAATCTCAGACGCCACACAAAATACTTCCATAGCAGTTGTTTGGCCATAGCTAGCCCCATGATTACGCGTAAAGAAGCTAGTAAAGACAGTCTCTTTACTGGATTATGAGGGAAAAGACAGTTGGTGTGGTTAGTGACTGGCAGACTGCAGCAACAGCATCTTGACAATCAGTTTCCTTTAATTCTGAGTACATCTCACTAGCAAGCTGAGGTGGGCAGTCAAGTGGCTGACCTACTCACAATCCTCCCTTAGCGTCCTCAAATCTTACTGTTTTAAATTCTTACTTCCAATCCACGTCCTTATGCTGTAGCCCCGGGTCTTTTGTGGAGCTACTATACCTATCTTGGATCCTAACATATAACCATGTCCTGTGACCTCAGCATCCCACCAGCTTCTTCTGGATCTGCACTGACCTTTGATCTCTTGACTTCGTCTTTCACCTGTCATTTAGGGAAGGGGCTTCTAATCTAGGCTCCAGGTTGTAAGGGGAAGAATTTCTTACAATTACGCACAAAATAATGTGTATATCTATACCTTTTACCTGGAGAGAGGGACTATAGCCTTCCCTAGGATTCCTAAAGGAGTCTCTGATCCAATTAGTCAAGATCTAGGGTAAACTTTAAAGCCTTTAATAAGAATATGGATACAGGAAGACCCCTCTCATTATAATTCCAAATATAACCCAAAATGGAAGGCAAACTCAGAAGTATCTGGAGCAAACCATCTCATTGCTCCATTTCTCAGATTATGAATCAACATCCATGACCAGAGAAAACTTTGCAAATGTGTAGTTGTCCTAGGCTTACACCATACTTGTCCTTTAAAATGTTTCTCTCAGCTTCTAGGAAAGGAAAGATATAAGCACAAAGTTTGGGAGTCAGTATAGTACTAGCTATGAGATAACTGGTCCCCCAGGCCAAGGCACAGTAACAAGATATCTTAAGGCAAGGATCAAATGCTGGATTCACCTTAGTAAGTGTCCATCTCAGGCTTGGGAATGAAGTTTTGTAACATCACTGTCTCCTCCAAACATAGGGGAAGCTCAGAACTCTGTTTCTGGTTAACAGAATTGAACAAAAGCTTAGGAACCATGTGCACAACATAGATAAGGACTCAGAAATGCATGAGACAAGTTGGTCTCCTGATGGAGCTCTAGACTCTTCTTGCCTGTCCTGAAAGCAATGGCCATGTTCTTGATCCAGCAAGGAAGACTGATTTGCACAAATGTGAGGGCTAAGTTGATTCGATCCTGGAACACACATCAAGCCAACTCCTTGGTTTTCAGTTCCACACATTCTTCCTCCCCAATATGGTTTCTACTTGACCATCTAATGCTGACTTGGCTCTAACTCAACTTTCATCCAGTCCTTGAGATGATTTTGACATTGCAGTGTGTGACTCCACTGTTTCTTTCCTTGATCTAGGGAGATTTCTTGTTGGTATTTAATACTGTGAAATCTGAGCACACAGACCACCACCAGTACCTCTTCACCGTGCAAACATTTTGGCCATCCCAACACTTCCAAAAGTCACTGGAACCATAGATAATACATTCGTTCAACAATGTGGAGATGCAACCCATGAGTTTACCTCTTACACTCAGCATCCCAGGCTAAACCAGGAACCCTTCTCTTCTTCTTCCTTTATCAGGCCATCAGACATGAGGGAGTGTTGGTTGCTACGGTGATGGGGCTCAGAACAGAACCAAAGCATGAGTGTGACCTCCAGAGGTGATGGTAACTGAACACATGTTTTCCAAGGGTCTTCCTCCCAATTTTTCATCAAGAAAAATGGACAAACTCCTTTTGAAACAAAATCCTTCTCCTCCCACCAGACATATCCCCTGAGGATCCTGTTGGGTCTTTTTGTCCTCTTGTACTGCCACATGATTAATGTGACTGCATTTTTCCCTCCTGATTAAAACTTAGTGGCTTCACCTGTGTTTTACTTATAGCAATAGTTATCTCATTCTTGCAAACAGCTTTTCTAAATCATTAAGCAAGATTCCCATTAGGCTTTGGCATTAGCTTTCAACCCCAAGCCCCTAAATGATGACAATGCCTCCTGTATTATTTGGCTGGGTTGGTCTAGGCATCTCTTTTCAGCTAGGATGATCTTGCCTCAGCCTACAGACACCAAAGCTTAAGAAGTTCAAGCCAAAGCAAGAAAAAGAGCCTCAGAGTTTAGTAAATACATTCTGTCTTCAGGCTCAATTTTCTGTGGATGGTCTTCCTTGACTTGTCTTGGACCCTGTTTAGTACCCTGATCTTGCTGCAATGACTGTCCTACCTTTGAACTTCTTTTAAAAGAACATGGCTTGCTTCATTTACATCTGTTTGTTGGGAGACAAATGTAACCTACCAAGAGATCTGATACAGTCAAATATGTATGCAAGTTGACCGTCTTCTTGTTATTTATAATTTGTCATTAGAAAATCATCACTTCTAATTATTTTTGACAGATATTGACTCCAGAGAGTTATAGATACATAGTTGTCCTTAGGGATTATAAGAAGAAAGAACATGTAGATAATTACATTGAGATCTTTAAAACACGGGTCAATATTCCCAATTATCTTCACAGCCAGCTTTCAGATGTTTACATTGTTTCTGAAAGATAGACATTAGCCCTGCCTATGAGCATGAAACTGGCAGTCCTTTAATAAAAAAAAATGGTTCAACCAATTGTAAGTAGAAGCTAAAATTCAGTTTTTCAAATTAACATTTGCACTGCCCTACAAATAGTAATGGTGAATCCTCTCCTCTGGGCAAACCACGCCTGAGACAGGTGCGACTCTTTTGCTGGTGAAATATCTCACAGCAGATTTTCCACCACCTCTCTTGGTAACCCAGACTGGTTTTTGGTACTTTAGGATTGCCGACACGTCAGGAAACAGATCATTTCAGTGGTTTTGAGCATCCATTGTTAGAACCCAACTACAACTGCTGAACTGTGTTCATCAAATAAGTAGGTTTATTTATCAGTTTTCCTTCTTTCTTTCATTACCACTCCAGGTTTACATACGAAATTGCACCCGTGTTTGTTCTCATGGAACAGATAACACTTAAGAAGATGAGAGAGATCATTGGATGGTCAAGTAAAGATGGTGATGGGATATTTTCTCCTGGTAGGTTTCTTTTCTGTAATTGATTGCCCTCAATACTGTCCATGTGGATCCTTTCTTCTTTATTAAAATTACTAACACAGGTCAATTACAGAAATTAATGGGCTTCATTGTGACATTCACATATATACATATATTACAATCAATAATCGTAACACTGTGCCTCTGCCTGTGAACCAACTAACCAAGGCTGTGTCTGAGTCATGCTAAATGGTGCTGTTCTGACAATGGCAAAACTAGGGATCCGTTAGTTAAGTTTATTAACTAACTTAAGCCCAAATATTGTATCTACTTTAGTCTCTAACTCAAAGTAGTTATTATAAAAATCTTTAGAATAAAGACAGCTATTCTTGGAGGGTAAGAAGCAGTTATAAATGGTGTTAGAGGCAGTACAGCTACACTTAGGAGTGGGGGAGAAGAAAAAAGAATACAATTGTCCAGGCAATTCAAACAGACCACTGATTTGCCTATTTCATTCTTAGGGAACCAAGAGAATGCCAAAGTGACTAGTCTGTGTTGTCTAGTCTTGGGTAGTTATCTCATTTCTTCTTGTATCTTTATTTAGCAAGACATGAGTAAATTTTTTGTCTGTTTCAATAACGCTTAGACTCACAAACTCAGTCGGGCTACTCTTTGAAGAGAATACCCAAGCTGGTAACCAAGAGATGCACTATTTCTTTCTGCAAGCTCCATTACTCTCTTGCCCTGTCTTTCTGAACTCAGGGAGCAGATTCAGCTTTGTTCAGTAAACAGATTACACAGAAGATGGAAGCTGGGAGGCTGTAACTTACCGTGTCTTTGCAGTGCTACTACTGCCTCTGGTATTCTACATTGGCTTTGGGTAGGCACTGAAATATATTAATCATCTCCAGCTAAATTGCCTACATAGCTCTGGAGATAAGTATAACCACTTCAAGTCTCACGGCAGAGGGCCAGAGAGAAGTCCTTAAGAGTAAGAAGCCAGCAAGACTTTCAGATACTGTCCTTTCCCTTTTTCATATCTTGAAACACCAGCTCAACCTTAGTGTCAAAAACACAACAGAGCCCCAGCAACCTCCTGCTATGTCTGCTTGTTGACAGGGGGAGCAATATCCAACATGTACAGCATCATGGCTGCTCGCTACAAGTACTTTCCGGAAGTTAAGACAAAGGGCATGGCGGCTGTGCCCAAACTCGTCCTCTTCACCTCAGAACACGTGAGTTGGAGACTCTGGCTGGTGGAATGTGCTGTTTCTTAAGGGATTATCTCACTTTTAACCTCAAGCCTCCATTTGTTGCAGAGTCACTATTCCATAAAGAAAGCGGGGGCTGCACTTGGCTTTGGCACAGACAATGTGATTTTGATAAAGTGCAATGAAAGGTAGGCCGTGGGAAGTGAGCATTAGATTCGTGATGTATTAAATGTGTTCATCTGTTAAATTTGTTTTATTGTGCTTAAGGACTGACTCAGTACAGTGTGCCAAGCTGCTAATGGTCTGTTGAAAATATCCAATTAAATTACTTTTTGCTGCTGATTATAATGGATTTTTTTTCTTGTATAATCTTGTTGATTCTTTATTTTAATTTCTTTCTTTTTATAACAATTACAGGGGGAAGATAATTCCAGCTGATTTAGAGGCAAAAATTATTGAGGCCAAGCAAAAGGTATGTGTGATTTGGTACATCTGAAACTTCAATAATTCTAAGATTCCTGTCTCAGATATTCATGTATTTCCAACTTAATTCCAGCCATTAGCCTCAAGGCTGAGTCTACAAGACGTGTGTGTGTGTGTGTGTGTGTGTGTGTGTGTGTGTGTGTGTGTGTGTGTAAAATGAAGAATTCAGTCATTAGATCACCATATGTCAAGTAATTAGTTTGATGTTCTTCAATAAATCAACTACCCGGGATTCAGAAAAATTCAGCCAAATTTTGCCTGTTGATATAATCTCTTTTTAATAATTACAAGTTTATCTTGGGACTCTGTTTAGCAAAGCTCTTCCATGCCCCAGCAGATGACTAATAGTACTTGGCAAATCCAGGCCCCCCTCCAAAAACCTCTACCAAACAAAGCAATTTCATAGAACAGATGAACCCCAGGGCCCTGCCATGCGTCTTCCAGACTGTACCACCACACAGTTGTCTGGTTACCTTCTTTTCTGATTGTGGCTGTTTGCTGGGGCATCAACAGAGGAGATGGATGGAGTTTTACTGACCTAGAGCTGAGCTCTCAAACTCTCTGACACTCATAGATGTCCTCACCCTGTCCTAGCTCTCTCCTTTAGTCCCTTGCTTTCCCCTTTTCCATGTTGACATCTCACCATAAGTCAGTATGTCAGCATTCACAGCTGTAGAACTACTATAATTCAGGGTGCATGTTCATATATGAGCAGGTGTGTGTGCATGTGTGTCTGGAAGCCAGAGGACATACATCTTCAAGTGATTTTCCTAGGCACACATTTATCTGAGGCAAGGCCTCTCCCTGGCCTGAAATCTACAAGGAGAGGTTGATTGACCAGCAAACTTCCAGACCCACCTATCTCCACTTAACCAGTTCTGAGATTGCAAACAGGCACCACCATGCTTGACTTTTTCCATGGGAATTCTGAGGCTTGAACTCAGCTCCTCATGCTTCCAAGGCAAGCGCTGTACCAACTGACCTATTTCCCAGTCCTTGTATCCACCCCTTTAAAAACCAATCTTTGAGTTTAATTGTCAAACCACTTAGACCAACACAGCTCCCACAGAGAATAGTATCCAGATGGTGTTCAGAAGTGAAGTATTTGGATGCAAAGCCTGCCCATCACTCCAAAGACTTACTAATTTTTCCTTTGCCTTTTGTCACATAATTTATTACTATGATGTATTTTGTATATTTTGCTTATTTAATTTTAAGTCCATCATGTTAGAATTCTTTTTCTACTTGCTTCCTGTTCTGTTCCCAGCACCAAAAGGCCTGGCAAAAGTCAACTCAAACTAAAAGAGCCCTGTTGAATGAATGAATACTTCTGTCTGTGGTCTCTGAGCCACACCAACTTGGCTCACTGCTAGAAATGAATATTGTGGCCTTCCACTTCCCATAGAAATGAGCAGATGAGGAAGGTTAAAAAGAACGTATAAGGGGACTAGGAGATGGCTCAGTGGTTAAGAAGGCATACCATACCACTCTTCCACTGAAGCAGAGTTTTGTTTCCAGCATCCACACCAGGCTTACAGCTACCTGTAACTCTAGAGTATCTGAAATCCTTTTCTATGCTCTGAGGGCACTGGCACACACACACACACGCACGCACGCACGCACGCACGCGCGCATACACACACACAGATAAAATTTTTTTAAGGAAAACACTAATCATCTATCTCTTTCGCCTTGTAGGGATATGTTCCCCTCTATGTCAATGCAACTGCAGGCACGACTGTTTATGGCGCTTTTGATCCAATACAGGAGATTGCAGACATATGTGAGAAATACAACCTTTGGCTCCATGTCGATGTAAGTGTCCTTGTTCTGTCAAGGGACAGAAACAGCCCTGCTTTCTGCTTTGCCTCCAGCTGCTCTGAACACCCTCTCTGGCTCTTCCTACACACTGTAGCTCCTACTTGCCCCCACTCCTCAGCCAGCCATTTGTAAACAGTGCCTGTCACAGAACCTGGTCACCCTCGCAGGTCCTTATTGGCCAGTAGTGGTCTGGTGTGTCTCCTGAAGAGTCTACTATGATAAGCAGTGCCTCCCCTGGTTTTTTTTAATTTGGGTGAATGGATGAATGATAAAATATAGCTGGCTTCAGAGAGAGAAAATAGTGAGACATAACATAGAGAAAGTGGCCATGAATCTGAACACGTAGTCACCTGCCCACGTCCCCATCTGTAACGCTTCTAAGAAGATTACCTATCTGCATGCAGGCAGATAAGGAAGTACACAGAAGACATAAACAACCATGAGGGTTAGTCCCAGAGTTTCCCAACAACAGCAAATGCGCACTCTTACACATGTGATGGGAGTCTTTTGTTTTCTTCTTTCTCCCTATCTTTCTCTTACTAGACATAATGTCTTGGAAATAGACAATAGAAGACTCTGTCCCACTGTTCAGTGAATGGCTAGGAAAGGCTGTGCTGTGTCCTGGCTATGCCAGGCAATAGAGTAAAATAAGTACTGTGGTACCCACAATGGTGTCTTGCTATGGCTGGAGCTTTGTGGCCCCTCCAAACCCAGCAGGTGTTGGTGCTTTCTGAATTTTTCGGGATTGTTTCGGAAGAAGCAGGTAGCTGCACCTGCCTTTTAAACAGCTTCAATACCTCCATGGCAGTGTATTGGGCTCAGAGAATCCCTGGCTGCCCACAGCACTTTAAGCCTTTGGGCCTTCATCTGCAGCCACCACAAGCTCCACCCACTTTTTCTAGATCACCCAGACATTCTCTGGAGGAAGTTTATAAAAAGAAATGGCAAGTGATGGAGAGCCCGCCATCTGTGCAACTAGAACTATCAGTGTGGACTTATTCCGTAGGTTATCCTTTGTGTAACCTTGACTGGCCTGGGATTTGCTGTGTAGACAAGGATGGCCTCAAACTCAGAGAGCTGCCTGTTTCTGCTTCCTTAGTGCTGGGATTAAAGCCGTGGGCAGCTTGGTTTTAGATGCTTCAGCATCACAGTTCCTCTGTCTCCTTTCTGTCTTTGCAGGCTGCCTGGGGTGGTGGGCTGCTCATGTCCCGGAAGCACCGCCACAAACTCAGCGGCATAGAAAGGTACAGTGAACTTGGTAGCCTCCCCTCATCTGCAGCAGAGACACTATCCACCTTGGTCCAGCCCTTCCGCTCCCAACCCTGATGTCAGCCTTCATTCCCCCTGCCCTGATTTTTTTCAGTGGTGGAACTCAATCTGGCCAGGCAAACTTTAGCCTGCCTGGTGTCTTTGAGTGTTTCCTGCCTGGTTTATTTCCTAGACAAATGAGTCCTCAGCTCACAACTGCAGGTGCCTAGGGAGGGGACAGGCAGGCCTCTGATTCCTTCAACTCCTCCTCAGTGAGGTAACGGATGACTGACACACCCAGCTCCCCTCACGTATCTCAGTTGCTATGGCAAACGACAGGAAGCAAGGGTGTAGAAAAGAATGTCCCCAGCAGTGGATGTGGTCAATTCAAAGGCCGGGTGATGTGACTCTTGACAATCTTGAGGACAGTGGGCATGGGCAAAGCAGGAGAGCTGGAGAGCCGGCCAGTAAGAAAACTGGTCCAGGCAAGCTCATCAGAACACGGTCCTAGCAACAGCTCTGGCGTCACAGCTGCTTCTGTGCCTGTTTCCTTGTCTCTTTTGAAACGCCGTTGTCAACGTGAGACTGGCTTGTGAAAGATGAAATACAGGAGGCTATCATTCAGAGGAAAATACACTAAATGTTGATGAGCCAGCCCTACTGTACTTCAGACTCCTCAGAGGCTCTCATTGTCCATCCTTGTCCATCCTTGGATCCAGGAACAGGTGACACGAGACTCACTCTCTTTTTACATTAAAGCACGAATGTCTTCCTAGGGGAGCCAAAGCCACATCGCGTCCTGTCTCCTTCCACTTGCAGCAGCAGAGAAGCATTTACTTCCCAGCTTCAGGACATTCAGAAAATCATTTTTTAAAGACATTTCATGAGATCCAAGTAAAATTATTAATAACGATATGTGACAGCAAATTGGCTAAGTTCATGCCTTCTAAATGTGGCTTGACGGGGATTCCTCCCATGTCTTTCTCTCTTACATGAGGCTTCCTTTTTGCATGTGTAAGGGAAATGTTCTTTATCTCTGCCCCCTTCTTGAAACTCAGTACACACACACACACACACACACACACACACACACACACACACACACAAAGGACCAAAGGAAGAAGTTAAAAACCCACAGAAAGGGTTTAGAACTGGAAGAGCACAGACAGTATAATTCCAAGGCGGTGTGATATCAGAGGAAACACCCTTCTCAGGTATTAAAATGCAGAGTCCAGCTTTGGCCAAGGCCATCAAGAAAAGGGTCTGTAACTCACCGGAGCAAATTTCCCAAGTCTGAATCATTATGCATTACCCTCGGTTGTTTCTGTAATGTCCTAGCTAGTGTGCTCCTTAGTCATCTAATTGTGTCTGACGGAGTGATGCCGTTGCTAGGAGACCACACTTGTTAAGTGAGCTTTGCAGCTGAGATGGGCAAAAACCATGCTCATTTCTCACTTAATCGTCACTGCTAGCTAGTCCCAGTCTCTGGCAGTGTGGCTGATCTTTGCACTCGGTGTGCCATCAGCAGGTAGGTCCTCGTCACCAGCCCTTCTTTAAATGGCAATAGTGAAGGCAGGAGGAAGTCCACGGCTGTTGACTAGAAGAAGAAGGCAGTCTGGTGTGTGGATTGTGAGCGTTGGCTCTGCAGGGAACCCTGATTCAGGATTGCACAGAACACTTGCAAAGCCTGAGCCCTTAGTCACATTTCCAGTCATATACACCTAGAACTCTGAGGACAGTAGGACACGTAATAAGTAAACAAGTGCAGCTGTCGTTAATAGCAGTTATATAGAATTCATCAGTGCAACGGCTTAAGAGACGGTCCAAAGCCTGTGTTCCTTGCTGAGGGTCGATTTAGCAAGGAAAGCATCTGTGATCTCAGTGGAGATGGGCGGGGTTTTCCTCAAGATGACAGACTCTTCTCTGCCTTGCTGCAGTCTTCTCAGAGGATCCTCTGTCTTCCAGGGCCAATTCAGTTACCTGGAACCCTCACAAGATGATGGGCGTGTTGCTACAGTGCTCGGCCATTCTGGTCAAGGAAAAGGTCTGTACCCCCTCCAGAGATGTGCGGGCAGCAAGCACATCCCAGGGCTTGAGAAAGGAATGGTTGGGGGCTCCGTTATGAGGCTGCGGCCTGTCCTTGCCTGCCCTCCCGGAAACCTAGCCTATATTTTCCTCCAGGCGCTTGTTGTCAGCTGCCCTTTGTGCTTGTTCAGTGCTTGGGTCCCTGTGGGTGACAGACCCTCCAGTGAAACTCTTTTGAGTATTTCTCCATGTCTGCACAGACCTGAGCAGGATTGCTGAGCCACCCAATCAATGAGAACTAACCGTGCTCACTGGAACCTACTTGGAATTCTTAGTGGATGTTTGTTGTCTCAAGAGCTGAAAAATTAGATGGAGTGATAAACGCAAATCCTGGCTTAGGGCAACAGGGACTGTTAGCCAGAACGCTTCTGTAAGGCCAGAAAGATGACTCAGTGAGTAAAGGCACCTGCTGACAAGCATGAAGTTCTGAGTTCTATCCCTGGGGCCCACACAGTGGAAGGAGAAACCAGCTCCCTCAGGTGTCTTCCAGTCTCCACCGCATGTCATTCTGCACACATGTGTGCACACATGCAAAATAAATACGTGGAATTTTAAATTATTTATTTAATGTTATGTGCATTGGTGTGAGGGTGTCACATTCTCCGGGACTGAGGTACAGACAGTCGTAAGCTGCCATATGGGTGCTGGGGATTGAACCCAGGACCTCTGGAAGGAAGCCAGTGCTCTTAATCACTGAGCCATCTCTCCAGCCCCAATAAGTGGAATTTTTTTTAAGAAAGCTTCTGTGAATGCTTTGGAGACAGATTTTCTTCCTCCTCCACACCCAGTGCTCTGATGCTGCATAAGCCTGCTGCAGGAGAGGCACCCACTCCAGCCTGTCTCTTGTGGGAGTCAGAACCCACACAGGCTCTCCTCTACCTACCTTAACTTCACAGGACGTCTTGCATAAATTGGGAGGGTTGGGGGGGGAGTCTCTGGGGGGGAAGGAAGTTCTTCACAGCACGAGTCTTTCCACCTGCTGAAGTTGGTACTCCAAGCCCTGCCCAAAGAAGGGTAACATAATTCATCTTTGAGTCTGACAAACCTCAGAGCACCCACTCCCATCTCCAGATGTCCCTTAGAGAAACAGGGAGGCGCTTGTAGGCATCCAACACAAGAGGACATTTTTTAACCAGAGTGACAGAAGGCAAGGCAGGGTTGGGGGCAGGCAGGCAGGGTTTTTTCAGGAGTGGCTTTAAAGGGCTCATGAAAGACCTGAGAAGAAAGGAGGTGTGGTCCCCAAATCCATCCTTGCCCCCACGCCTCTGACTGGTGAACACAGCTGCTTGTGTCTTGACTTCCCTGACAGGGTATACTCCAAGGATGCAACCAGATGTGTGCAGGCTACCTGTTCCAGCCGGACAAGCAGTATGATGTCTCCTATGACACTGGGGATAAGGCAATTCAGTGTGGCCGCCATGTGGACATCTTCAAGTTCTGGCTGATGTGGAAAGCAAAGGTATGAGGGGGGAAAGCCAGGAACCAGAGCCGTGGCTAGCACAGGCCAGCTGCTGAAGGGCGGGCAGCGATGTGTCACAGGTAATCCACTGCACGTGTGACTGGGTCTAGATAACTGAGGTAACTTCCTCCCTGTGTCAACCCTCTCTTCTTCAGCTCGTTTGCCTTAGTTTGAATTGACGTGGAAATTTCTTATCCTTACAATTCTCTTATTACTAAAAGTTGACCAAGATAACGACTGCCATAGCAACTCTTTTTAAATTAAAAAATATTTTTCTGTCTTGCGTATGTGTGTGTTTATGAGTGTGAGTGTGCATGTGCCATGTGTGCAGGTGGGAAGTTAGAAGGCAACACGCAGAGGTTGGGTCCCTCCTCCCACCATACGGGTTCCTAGGTCAAACTCAGCGGGTAAGGCTTGGCAGCTCTACCCACTCAGCCATCTTGCCTGTCCTCCACAATTTATTCTTAAGAATTCTAAAATTATTTAGTACAGATATAGAAAAATATATAAACTACCATGTTAGTCTGAAAAGAATGCAGAATTCCTTTATGAGGCATCTCATCAAGGAATAAATATGCATATGTGTGTATACATATATACATATATTCATGTGTATGCATATATACATACACTGCAGTTTAAAGTTCTATTAAATAATGGCTATCCAATTGCTAACACCCCGTACTCTACTCTGGGAACTATATAGTGTGTTTGCTGTGTGTGGTACATGTGTAGATGGGTGTATGTGGTAGTTTGTGTGTGGTTTTGTATGTATATATATGTGTGTGTGTGTATATATATATATATATATATACATGTGTATGATGCTGTGTGTATATGGTACTTTCTGTGTGTGTGTGTTTGTGGAACTCTGTGTATGTGGGATTAGAACTTGACACTTGATTCTGGGAATTCATGTCACTAGACTGAAATATACCGAGACTGCAGTCATCACCCTCTTGGGTAAATTTCTGTATCTATGATAAAGCTAAAAATTATGAGAAAGGACAATTACCACATGCCTGTTTCTAAAGTACTTTTATGCAGCCAAGTGAAAGGCAATCTGGATTTCACAGCCTTGCACCACCTCTGTTGTTTCTAGTTACCTTGTGTTTGTTAGTCTTAACAATTTCCATAGTGCAGATTTGGACTAACTTTCCCTCCAAACAATCAGGCTTCCCAGCAATGTCTAGTAGATATTTATTTCTTCTATAGGAAAAACTGGCAGGTGATTAGTTTTCTTCCTCATTAAGTCATCTTGCCTTAATGCGGAGTCTGAATTTGATTTCTCCCACGGAGTAATTGCAGGCATTTTGAGCGTATAAATGCCTTCACCACCATAAGGGAAAGAGCCCTATCATTTTGCGTTGCCATGATGACCACATGGCCTGCCTCAATAATTGCATTTTGTTTAACAGTGGCCTCCTGAACTGTCCCCAGGAGGTTCAGCCCCTGGGCTGTGGAGGGAAGACCCTGGGGTGGAAACCCTTCAGGAGGGAGGGTCCCGAGTGCCACTCCTCAGCCTCCTGCTTTGCCACCTCTGGACTCTGCCGGGCTCATCAGCCATCCACAGGCAGCCTCATGCAAATGTTCTCACTAACACCAACCCACTCAGAAGCCTGCATGCCGCTCTGTCTGTCAGCCACGCTGGCTTTGAAACTCATGCTCAGCCAGTTTGTCAGTAGTGAGAGCTAGTGCAGTCTTGGGGCATGGGCTGAGACCCATGGCTTCCACACCTGCCTGCTGGCCTGTCGCTGGAAGGGACAACACTGTTCTGTGAAAGGTGGATTGCCTGTGAGGACTGGGGACAGGTTTAGCCAGGATGTACAGTTGGGGAAGATGCCTTCAGTGATAGTGTCTTTCAAAGTACCTGTGATGAAGAACCAGTCCATTTCCTTTGACCTATCATGGACCAACATGAAACTTCTAGAAAAATGAAATGTAAAGCACAAAACTGAAGTCATTACTTGCGATTACCATCAATAGGTGTATGTAGTTGTTTTTAAAGTTTCTTAATGGAACCAGGAAATGACTCAGAAGGTGCTTGAGCCCCAAGAGTAACATAGTGAAAAGAAAACCTGACTCCCACGGATTGTCCTCTGAGCTTCACATATAGGCACACACAAAGACACTCATGGATGTGCAGACAAACACTCATGCACACACACAGAGTAGATGGGGGGCAGACAGACAGACAGACAGACAGACAGACAGAATAAATACATGTTTTTTTTTTTAGTTCTTAATTTCAGCTTCTCTACTCATTCCACCCTGGACCTGCTACAGTTTGTAGACTGACCTCAGTCCAGATAGGACTCTTAGAGTGTATCACTATCCACAAGCAAACTAGCTTATGGTTAACTTGTAGGAAGCTAAAGCCCTGCTGAGACCAACTTGCAACAGACCACACAAAGGTTTCGAAGGAGAAAGCATTTTCTTGCATGCAGGGCTTGAAGAAGCTGTGCACACTTGATTAGATGGTTCTTCCTAACCGCCTCCAAGACACTTCTTTATATGACCCATAAACAAGGACAGCATAGCCTTCCCAAATAACCTGCACAGGGTAATGCATCTTGATATCAACACAATTTTCTTCTTTGAAACAGGGTACTGTGGGATTTGAAAACCAGATCAACAAATGCCTGGAGTTGGCTGAATACCTCTATGCCAAGATTAAAACCAGAGAAGAATTTGAGATGGTTTTTGATGGTGAGGTAGGTTGTCATCATGGACCAGACACATGGCTCTCCCAGAGAAACCAAGAGGGGAGTTCCAGAGCTTTAGATGATTGACATCTCATCATTTCACCCAAAACAGGACTTAAACTTCTCCTACTCATGGCCCCTTTTACCCAAGATATCTTTATACACCTGCGGGCATATACACACAAAAAGTAGACATATTGAGGTTGAATCATATGGATAACTGTTTTAAAGCAATTCTCTGGTAGACAGTTTTGCTATTTATTAAAGACTAAAGTAAATTTTCATACTAATGAGATGGGTGCTTTTGTGTATTTTTACACAAAGAATTAAATTTTGGCTGAATATGTGATCCTTAACATTTTTTCCAGAGTTGAATGAGCTTCTGATTTTATAATCTTCAATGCAGAGAACTCTGCTTTGCATAAACATATGGTATATATAGTACAAAGTGGCAGAACATCAATAGGAAAATACTAAAAGCCTTGGTTTTCTGTGATTGAGCCATTTTCTAAAGGCACAGAACACTTTATATGTACAGTGAGAACACTGCTGTTCATAGTCTTGTCTCTGGGGAAGCTGTTTCAGGCAGCCTTCCTTGACACGGTGTGGCACAATACGGCATGTGCACTACAGGTGTGAGTGTTGTATGCTCAAAACCAAGTCTGTAGCGAGGTGGCGTGGGGCAACACAGCGCTGCCAGCAAGCCCCAGATCCGTTACATGCTTAGATTTAGTTTTGATCATTCTATAATCAGAAGTCTTTTGTAACTCCCCCACTCTCAGTCACACAGCCCCATATGAAGCCACTGTGTAGCAGGTCCTAAACCTTCTTTGTTCTCTGCTCGGGCCAGAGTTGGACTCTATCCATGATAAGTATCTCCCAGGGCCAAGAACTTGGGGGTCAGGTATATCCTCACCATCCAAGCCTGGCTCTAAACGAGGCTTTGCTGTCCATGGATTCATTATGAAGAGAACCAGATAAACTGCCTCTGTCCAGGTTCACACACTCCCCTTATTACACACAGCAAAGTACCTGTCAGCCCAGTGTTTCCCGAGTGTCAACTGTGTACCACACACTGACTTACACATTGCTAGCCAAAACAAATACTGTGTCTGCCCTGGTCCAGTTCATAGTTGAATAAAGAAACATGAAACCACTGCCAGTCCTGATAAAAAAGGAAGCCTGTTCATAACTGCTGTAACTGAGCACCACGTAAAGCTGGCATATGTCTATTTACACTTCTCGAGATAACACCTGAGAGTCGCCAAAGATCACCAGAGCCCAGCACAGTCAACCTGTACTGCTCCTGCACCTCCTCTGCGGGGCTTTCCTTTATGTGTGGGGTTTACACTTTCTAATAGAAGACTGAAGAGAACTGTGATGTCACCAGCTACCTAGAAGCAGGCACAGTGCTGGTGATACTGAAGGAGAAACTGCAAACCTCTTTCAACTGCCCCCACCACCACAGAATAATAAAGTAAGCCAAGCAGCTTCCCCCTGCACCAACATCAAAGTAACACGCCTCTCTGAATGGCTCAAATGCCATTGTCTTTAGCATTTCAAGGTACAAAGGCAGTAGGTTTGGGCCTAGAGATTTGTTTGGGGGCTGGGGAGTCAGCAGTCTTGACTGGTGAGGCTGGGTCAGCTGGGTATGTTTGTGCGCCAGCCCCGTTGCTTTGGAGACATCATTCAGACCTCTTTCTTTTGGATGGAGGAAAAAACAACTTTCTCCAAAAATGCTTCTGGATTTTGGTCAGGTTCTAATCATTTTGTTTTTGTTTGCTTGATTGTCTCTTGAAATTTCTGCAGCCTGAGCACACAAATGTCTGTTTCTGGTACATTCCACAAAGCCTCCGAGGGGTTCCGGACAGCCCTGAGCGACGAGAAAAACTGCACAGGGTAAGGACGAGCTTAGGGTTTCAACTACCCCCTGCTGTTTGCCTCACTGGTCAGGCCATCCCCCTGCCCCTGTGCTGTTCTCAAAGGGAAGGATTAAAAACCAGAAAGCCTCAGGGTGGGCTTCTGGGTCATGGGGTGGTGCCTCTTTGAGTTATACTTCTGGGGTCTGCAGTGACGCCTTGCTGTGGTTCAGATATGATAGGGCCCTCTCAAAGATGGAGTCCCACCTGGAAGGGTGTTCTTCATCATTGAGGCTGGGTGCATAGCAGGTGAACGATAAACATCTTCCTTGGAACGTTCCACACTCCACTGTGTCTGTTATTTTACTAAGTCAAGGCCTACTTGACTGCTGACTCATCAATGTTGAGTCCTACATCAAGTTTTGTCTATTCAGAGTTGTTGGCATATTTATGTAACATGTTAGGCATGCAACCATTGAACAGATATTTGATAAACCCAATCTGTGTTGGCAGTATCTTGGACTCTAGGCCATACACAGCCATAACTTGTAGTGTTGTCTGTCTTTGATCTTGTTTTCATTTTATTATCATTAAGACTGACATTCAAGATCCAGTTGCCCAGGGCTTTCCAAATGAACTCGTAGTTGGGTAGGTTTAGATATTCGCTGTGAAAAATACTTGGTGCTTTTGTTGTCTTAGACAAATAGCAAAAGTAAACTGAGCTGATCTGTTATATAAAGAAGGGCTGTCACCATCAGGGCTGAGTTTGGCTTTATGTTTTCCATCACAAGGTGGCTCCCAAGATCAAAGCCCTGATGATGGAGTCGGGGACAACCATGGTTGGCTACCAGCCGCAGGGGGACAAAGCCAACTTCTTCCGGATGGTCATCTCTAACCCAGCCGCCACCCAGTCTGACATCGACTTCCTCATTGAGGAGATAGAGAGGCTGGGCCAGGACCTGTAACCCCCTTTGCTGAACATGGGCCTTTGGCCATGCTCTCTCCCCTCTGGCACACTTCAGTAGCTGATACACCCCAGCCGTTTCACTGAAGGAAATGGTAATCTCTTGAAGAATATTTGTCACAACTTCACGTAAGCTTGTTTATTAGCGTTAGCAGGAAATAATGTTCTTTAAAAAACTGCACATTAGGAACACAGTATATATGTACAGTTATATATACCTCTCTCTATGTATATGTATGTATAGTGAGCGTGGCTTAGTCCTAGACCACAGCATGCCTCCCGTCCCCCAGAGAATTAGCCTCACCTCCCAAAATTCTTAAGAGGCTAACTGCAGGACAGATGGCACCCCCACTGCTGTGTCCTAGGGACCCAGGGATATGCTGCTGGTGGGAGCCTACCTCCCTGTTAGAGCTGTTCCCACCTGAAGGGATGGATGATGGATGTCAGAAAGTACCGGTAGATGACAAGTGTCACACCCTCCCTGTTAGTACCCTGCTAGGGGAAATAGTAGCAGAGTCCGTCACAATCGTGCTGTTGCTGTTTTTAGAGATTAATTGTGTAGACTATGTATATTACTGTGTCTGTCCTTGGGCAGGGGGAAGCACATATAATGATTTAATTGTATGTCAGCGAAATGTTTGTTTATTTATATTCAAATATATATCATGTTGAGAGGCATCTTATATTTTCTTCTCATTTGTAATGTATCTTATTTATATATTAATGAAGTAAGTTCTGAATACTGTTTATGGTATTTCGTGCATTTGTGAGCCAAAGAGAAAAGATGAAAATTAGTGAGACTTGCATTTATATTAGAGTGCCCTTAACATAATGATTTAAGCATATGCATACTGTCTGGAAAATTGTTCTGATGCTGTATATAGAGTCATATATATGGAAATCCTGCTTCAGTAGCCTCTGCTCTTCTCTTTCCCTGTCTGGCTGTATGTCGGGATGTTCTCAATGCTTTTCTAGTAACTGTTGAATAATAATAACTAGATCTCCTGTAATTTTGTAGTAGTACATGACCAATCTCTGTGACTCGCTTAGCTGAAACCTAAGGCAATGTTTCCGAAGATCTCCGATACACTGACCAGTCCCACAAGTGTTTTTGAAGAAATGAAACCCACACTGTGCGTTTTAGAGTATGCAAGAAAATATAAATAAAGAAATAAATATTCTCCATGAAGATCTTGAACCATTTTTTTCTTCCAGTCGGTGTTTCAAATATAAAAAGAGAGTTCCAGGAGCCTTTACTTGGGATCACTCGTGGCCCATTCATTTCCCACTGGCTACCTTGAGGGGATGCTCTGCCTCCTGGTTAAGCTGAGCCTTTAACCATGTGTTTCGGGTTCCTATGCCCTTCATCACGAAAGTCACTGGGTCTGTAGTTAAATTAGATTTGCTCTTTGTGCCCAGAGAAGGAAAAGAAAGCCCTGTTTCTCACCCTCCTGGCTTTGTCTTGGAGTTGCACGCCTCATCAGTAAATGAATATTTCCATCCTTTACCTCAGGGATAGTTACGGGCCCCAAGGTTTCAGTGGTGAGTGGGCAGACAAATATCCCTTCCGGTTTGGACCGCAGCTCATCTGTCATCTTTGCCTGTCAGTCACAGAATCACAGCTTCTTGTTATCTGTGCTTGTAAGGAAATAAGTGGTTCCTTAAAATATGTATTTAGTTGCTGGATCATAAGGAAAAAGGGTTCAATGACTGCACTACTCTGTTAAGCTATAAACGGTACCTTATTCATTAGAACACAGGCTTTGTCTACAGCACATATGGGAGATAGGGAAGTGACCCTTGTACATAGCACAGAGATTGATTTAACAAACTGGGCCACGGGGAGTGATCAGAAAAACACTTCATTCTTTTTCAAACATTTCCTGTGGGTTTCCTCCCTCCATGTTCTTACTTGAATTCAGGCCATTCCCATAGCTTTTCTGGCATTTCTACAAGAAGGGCCATATTCTACAAGAACAGTCCAGTTTCATGAACTAAGGGTGCCTTCAAGGAGCTGGAGAGTTGGCTCAGTGGTTAAGAGCACTGACTGCTCTTCCAGAGGACCTGGGTTCGAGTCCCAGCACTTCCATGGCAGCTCACAACTGTCTGTAACTCCTAGTTCTGACATTCTCACACAGATAGACATGAAGACAAAACTCCAAAGCACATAAAATAAAAATAAATAAATTAAAAAGAAAAACTGTGTGTGCTACCACACCCAGCAATGTAATAAAAAAAAAAGTGCCTTTAGAGCTGAGTGCAGGATAGAGTTCCTCTCTGCTCCCTCAGTCTGCCGTTGTTTGAGGCTGCAAGCTCCCTGGGGAAAGGTGGTGTGCTTTCTTTAAAACCTTTCTGCTCATTTTTTCCTAGAAACTGTATAGGTCAGGTCTGTAGGAAGAAAGGGCTAACGTGACAAAAGAATTATTTTTTTAAAGACTTTTTAAACCATTTTGAATTACATGTAGGGGTGTGTGTGTTGGGGGAGGGGTCGTGCACATGAATCTGAGTGCCCCAGGGAGTCAAAGGCATAGAACCCTCTGGAACTGGAGTTGCAGATAACTGTGAGCCCCCCACCCCCACCATGTGAGCGCTGGGAACCCGGCTAGTATGAAAAGCAGCTGTTCACTCTTAACCAGTGAGCCATCTTCCAGCTACCAAAGCCATAATTTTACCAAGATGTTAAAGTGACATCTGGCATTAGGTCTCCCGGACCACAAAGGATGCTTTTGTTTGTTTTTTAGTAGGACAGTTTAGGGGTAGAATTAAGGAGGCATTTTAAAATTAAGGTAAATTCATCCTTTATACTGTGCTGTGTGATTTTGACACACCCATTTTGTCGTGTCACTGATGGCATGACCAAAGTCCACCCCTTGTGCCTGTGACCCGACCTCCCCTCTTCTCCCAGCCTCGGGAGCCCTGCCTTTCCATGACACATTCACACTTACTGTGTGGCTTTCCAGGGTGCTCCTTTCGCTTAGCACTGGATCCATCCATGTTGTCTGTGTAAGTGTCCGTACTCACCTCTCTAAGCTTTCCCACTTATTTGGATAACCTCCAATTATTTGGAATGCAAGAAGTTTCCAGTTTTGGTCAATTAGATAAAATTATTATAAACATTAGCATGTCGATGTTTGTATTAATACAGATTTCGTTTAATCTGGGTAAACAGCTACGTGGGTGTAGGATTCCCAGACGATACGCTGAGAACATACTTAACCTTAAAAGAAACTGTTGAACTAATTAAACGAAATCTGTAGGGAATGGCCTTGGGCTCCTGCTTAGCCCATGGATCGCGAACACAGCGCCCAGAGGACGCCTCACACGCTGCCTCTGATAACTCTTTCCAGACTTATTCTGCTGTTTTTAGTTATGTGTGTGGGTGTCTGTGTGTGGTGCGGGTGCCAGAAGAGACCAAAGGTGTCAGTCAGCTCCCCTGAGCGGGAGTCACAGGTGATTGTGAAACACGGGAACTGAACTCAGGTCCACTCCAGAGTCCTGTGTTCTCTTAAGCACTGAGCCATCTCTCTAGCTGCTGGTGACTAGTTTTTTAAAGCCGTATTTATTTTTAGTCTTATGCGCATTGGTGTTTTGCCAGCACGCGTGTCTGTGAACCATGTGCAGCATACCTGGTGCCCTCAGGAACCAGATTCCCTGGAGCTGGAGTTACAGATGTTATGAGCGTCCATACGGGTGCTGTGAGTCCAATCTGGGTCCTCTGGAAGAGCAGCAAGGACTTACACACTGAGCAGTCTCTCTGGCCCTGATAACTCATTTTCTTTCTTTTTAAGATTTATTTTTATTATACATATAGTAGACTGCCTATATATATATCCCTGCAGGCTATAAGATGGCACCAGATCTCATTACAGATGGTTGTGAGCCACCATGTGGTTGCTGGGAATTGAACTCAGGACCTCTGCAAGAGCAGCCAGTGCTCTTAACCTCTGAGCCACCTGCCAGTCGCTGATAACTCATTTTCATGGCTCCACTGCTATTCGCATTATAGCATATACTTCAGTTGGCTTGAGCATGCTTCCAGGAGTAAATACCATGGAGTTTTCCTGGATTTCTTGTTTGTTTTGTGTGTAGCCTTTATGCAGATGTTGTTCCGAGTATCCATATTTCCTAGGGCATATGTACAAAGGTTTTTCTAAGGTTACTCTAGAAAGGAAATGGCTGGATCACGGTGCACTTGAACTTGACTGGCAGAGCAGCAGTCACGCTGGGGTGGCAAGTTCAGGCCCCGTGTGCCTCACTGCATAGCGTCACCATCACTTGGCCTAAAATTCAGCACCCTGCAGACAGAATATACATTAGATTCAGATTAGATTGTGTGTTGTTTAAGCTTCTTGAACGTGGACTCAGGGAGCTAAGAGGCGCTCCCTTGTTCCAGACTCGGGCATGTTCATCGCTGAGGGTATGAAGAATGGGGCATCCTTGAGAACAGCTAGAAAGCAGACTGTTTCCAACAGAGAGGACTGCTGTTTATCACATAGTATCCCGTATTGTAAAAATGCTGGACACAACTCATCCACAAGAGAAAACGCTCAGTCAGTAACCCCTGCTGACTGCTCCCATGGGCTCCTCAGTTGACTCTGTGGGACCTTGCAAGTGCCCTTTGATGCTATCAACAGCTGATTTCTTCTTGTCTTTCACTTTTACCTGCTAGTCTCAGTTGGGGTCACTATTGACACGATGCAACACCAGGACCAAAAGTAGGTTGGGCCCTCCCCCATCTATCACTAATTAAGAACATGTCCTACAGCTGATCTCACAGAGGCATTTTCTGAATTGAGGCTCTCTCCTTCCCAGTGACTCTAACCTGCGTCAAGTGCGCATAAGCCATCCAGCACACTGCTCTCTGGCTGCTCCAGCTGTTTCTTCTGGATGTGGTAGGAGCCTGACTTGATGGCGCTTTGCTGTATATCCATGGTTGCTATTTGCCCTTGCCTGTGCTTGCCACACACTTGCTAAGCCCATTCCTCTGAAACCAAGACGTTTGCTATTGTAGATAATGCTCTGGACCATAGAGGTGAGTCCGAGATAGTGTTTCACTGTGGATGGAAAGTCTTCCCTGACTACAAATACACGTGCACATCTTTCCCCATTACTATTATGACTCTTGACCTTTGCCCAGTTTTCATTTGAGATGGCCCCTCTTTTTCATTTTAATGGTCTTTATATCTTCCCAATACTAGTTTTGTTTTATTTTCGTTTTGAGACAAGACCTTGCCACGTAGCCCAGGCTGACCTCGATCTTGAGAACTTCCTGCCTCTGCATCCTGAATATTGGGATGGCAGGCATAAGCCACACTGGGCCTTGCTTCTAATTCCTTTCTTAATTATATGTTTGGCAAATATCTTCTCCTAATCTGGGGCTTGCCTTTCACTCAGTTAATACTCTCTTGGAAAGCGTGCATTTTCACATTTAATGTAATAAAACTCCCAATGCTTTTATTTGTGGTTTCTGTGTTGTACATCATCTTTAATTTCTTTCCTGTCCCAAAGTCACAAAGACATTCCCAGATATTGACATCTAGGCTTTGAGAACTGATGCCTCTTAGTGTTGAAGTCTTTAATCTACTTTGATACCTTGAATTGATTTTTGTTTTGATTCTTCTATGAGAGAAAAAGGCCTATGATTAGCCCTTTAGTCTTTCATATAAATCTTAGGATCAATTCATGAACTTGCACAATCATCTGATGGATGTTTCCTGCTGGAATTTTTTAGTGGAATCTCGATTCTGTGAGTCAGTTTAAAGAATACTAACACCCTTTTCAATATTGCATGAAGAAACAATTGTATTGGGTTTTTCTAAAGAATAGAACACACACACACACACACACACACACACACTCTTTTTAATTGAGTTACATTAAAGCAGTGATGACAGCTACGCTCATGCCCGAGCTGCTAAGCCTGTGATACCGGGTGTCTCAGCAGTTGGGGTCATCCACTGTGGCTGTTGAATACTGGGGAGGCTGACAACCCAGTTGCTTCCATCACAAGGCTAGATTCCTCAGCACTTCTAATCTGGTAACAAAAACCGGAAAGGCTCTTGGGGAGCCACCGGTCCTTAACCCAGGATGGAAACCTGAAAATCCTGCTTCTGAAGCAGCAGAGGAATCAACCACAGCTCCAACAGCAAGCAAGAGGGAAGACCACGTGGGCAAAAGGCGACCAATCCT